GCGGGTTGGAGTGGGTGGAGAAAGGTGTCAGGAGTGTTGTGTGACAGAAGAGTGTCAGCAAGAATCAAAGGAAAGGTGTACAAGACAGTAGTGAGACCAGCTATGGTGTATGGGTTAGAGACTGCAGCAGTGAGGAAAAGACAAGAGGCAGAGATGGAGGTAGCAGAGATGAGGATGTTGAGGTTCTCTTTAGGAGTGACCAGGATGGACAGGATTAGGAATGAGCACATCAGAGAATCACCAAGAATCAAAGGAAAGGTGTACAAGACAGTAGTGAGACCAGCTATGCTGTATGGGTTAGAGACTGTAGCAGTGAGGAAAAGACAAGAGGCAGAGATGGAGGTAGCAGAGAGGAGAATGTTGAGGTTCTCTTTAGGAGTGACCAGGATGGACAGGATTAGGAATGAGGGGCGGGCGCAGCACAGTGGAGGAGGGCGCACACCGGCAAATCAGCACATGTTGGGTGCCAGTTGTTAGGACGACCAAAAAGCTTTTTCCAAGGTGATAGAAGATATTAACTACTGTAGTTTTTTGAGCAGCGGACTCGGACGCACTATGTATCTATCTACATGTCACCATGTAAGTCAAGTCATGAGTCCTGAAAATCTGGACTTGAATCAGACGTGGACTTGAGGACTACACTGACTGGAGCATTAAAGTTTTTTTTTAATTAAAGTCATGATCTGCCTTCTCACTACACCATCCAGCTGACCTTATTTAAATCTTATGCAAACACCAAACATAGCAACATCTCATTTCCATTAATACTGAAGTTAAAAATGTTATACTGTTTAGCAAAGTTTGTTCAAATGTAGGTCATTGCAATGTAGCTCATGTTGTCACAGCTGCTTTAAGAGAATGAAAATGGATTAGTCAAAAGCTCTCTTCAAATGTTTCAATTGTAGATCTGTTGCTCTTTGTAAAGCATTTGAAGCAGCATTTTGTGTATGAAAGTTGAATTATAAATAAAGGTTATTGTTATTTTTTTTATTAGTAGTGGTAGTAGTGTTATTAGCCTATTATAAAATTTAACAAAGCACTTCAAATAATCTTTGAAGAGAAGTGTTTAATCAAAATCAGTCTGGACTGATTCTGACTTTCGGAGCGTAGTATGCAAGAGCACCTTGCGCGCCCACGGCTCATACGTAGACATGAATGTACCAGGTTGGGGTAATGAAAACCTAAGTTAACTTGGTGAATAAAACCATGTGACCTGGCTCTTCCACTCCCATGACACATTTCTGTTCGCTCCACCTCTGGCCGTCTCCACACCGGGCGGTGACGCGGTGGCACCAGTGGGTTCAGGTGTCTCAAAGTTTCACACAAAGACTGGTTCAACGGAAGTTCGCACAGGTAGGACGACAGTTCAGGAAAGGATACGAGAAACTGCTTTAAAACTAAACTACTTTAGCTGGGACTGTTGTAAAGATACATTGTGTTTTGAAAACCTGAACAGGCCTATGGATTTTTAGATTTAGCTGCTGATTTTTTACAATAAAGCACGTGCGCATTGTCTTTCGACATAATGCCAAACCAGTCCAGCTGCTATGGGTCGGTAATCACCCCTAGGGTGTCACTTTATACCCTGAGTATATTTAGAACTGTAACGTAATGATTTATAGATGTATATAATTGTTAGGGGAATCACAAAGGTTCTCTACTAAACGCTTCTATAACTAATTAAAGGTCTTCAAATAACATGTTTTCCTCTGAGCTTGGCTGCCAGTCTTCAAAGTCATGTACCTTTATTGCACCATCTCAGTAGCTATTAATCTTACAGTTCAAACTTTGTTATATTATTATTGGTTGTTATATTAACTATGTTTTTTTAAGCCTTTCTTTATACTGATTGTGTGCTGGTCAAACATGTCAAGTATTTATGAGGACTCCTCCTTAGTTGTGACTCATACTGTACAAAGCTGTGCTGTGGTTACTTACTGTTTAGGAAAATCTGGCATAAAGTGAAGGTTAAAGGTTACTATCCATCTTTCACTAGTAACAAGTGACAGTAGTGAAGCTAATTGCTGTGGTTCAGATGATCAGATTTGTGTAGCTCAGGTGACAGCCTATAATGGTCAAGGCTACACAGGTCCACTTTTGTAAAGGTTTTGTTTACATTTTGTTACTCCAATTACCTCCGATTACTGAGAATCACCTTACTTGTAATGTACTAAATAATGCAAACAGTTAGGGAGATCAAGATATGGTGCTGTCAAAATCAAAGAAAATAATTATTAGTGCAATGTGAAGCTGACGGCATGATGACTTAAGAACAAAAGAAATAAAACTACTCTGTGATAGTAAAGAGTATTACCTGTTTATTATTCCTTAATTAATCATACTACAATCTGACCTATGAACTTGTCTTTAGAAGTAGTAGGGAGTACAGCTTTTATTAGGATGTGAATAGTGAACTACTGGCCAAACCCAGTGAGGTTGGTCCGGACACACAGTATTTGTTCCTTAAATAAAAGCATAAAGTTTGTTGTCACATACAGGAAAAACTTGTTATGTGTTCTTTATTTAAATTAGTATAATTTCCTGCTGCCTATTGATTTTCAGTTGCCGGCTCTGTTGAGCTCAGCTATTCCCTTTGTCCAGTCATAGTAAGAAGGACGAGTTTGAATCTCAGATGTGGTAGTTTTTGGGGGTAATTCATGTTCTCCCTGTTTTCTTCAGATGCTCTGCTTCCTTCAGTGTCGAAGGTTTATATATATTCAAGTAAGGTGGAGTGGCAACTCTAAGCTTAGTCCACCTGTGCTTTGTGATGGACTGGGATCTGCCCAGGGCGTGTTCCTCTTTTACACGTACAGCTTGTCCATCAGGTTACAGTGTTTTTGTGCTTAAACTCAGCTACACATTCAGTACTGTCTGTACATAGCACCGCATACAACTAATCAGTTGACAAGAAACCTAGTAAAAATATTTAGTTAGTTTTATTTAGTAGTGGATCATCCTTCATATCATTGTGTTGTATCTAACTAAATTTTTACTTCTGTTAATTGTCACCTCTACCTGTCTGAAACCCAGACACTTCAAACATATATAGTTACTTGCTGCTGATTCGCAATATGTGCAATTGTATTTATCCAAATTGGTTGGTCTGTAGGTACCAGTCAGAGGAATACTTGTATGAATGTTTTTGTGTGTTTAGAATCAGGGCTGTGTTGAAATTCAGTTCAAAGTCCTCACACTACTTGTCACCAGTATCACTTTGTATGAGTGATCATATAATAGGTGCACCTGAGTGAAAAGGCCAAGATAGTGAAAGAAATAATTACTGAGTCTGAAAGCTGTGCCTGGTGGTGATTTAAACACATGGCTGTGGCGCGCAGTAAGAGAGGGTTTCATGGCCTGATATTAGGGTGTATCCCTTCAGACACAGAAACTGTATCAGAGGCCCATCACCTGTGTGTAGCACTTATTTAAATCTGGGTTCATTCAAGTGAAGTTAAAGAGTGTGTTTCTCAGTGCAGTTGTGGTGCTGTGCTTTTCTCTGGTACTTTGTGAGAAGTATCTTCTTACATTGATAATGTGCTCACAGGTGTTTACAAGAGCTGGAGTCCCAAACTTGTTCACCTGTGTGTTCAAATGTATAATTGTATGAGCTGTGAGCACATAAACAAAATGTGCATACAGTCTTTGTTGTGTATGCTAAGTAATGGGGATGTGACAAGAGGTAAATAGACAGAATGTCAGGCTTTTTTTGTCCATGGTGGTTTCTGTTGTCTGGTAGATGTCAACTGGCTGTACTTAGAATGAACTAATTGTCAACAAATGCAGACAGGAGGAGGGAGAGGACTCTTTTTCTTTGCTATAAGAAACAAGAGTTCCTCATGGAAGTGAGAACTCTTTTCCTGCCTATACTTGCATATTTGGCACAGGTTTTGTTGTTGTTATTATCAACGTTTTATTATCATATTAACTAGAGTAACAAACACATATCCACAAAACACTGTGATGAATCCCTACCCCCACACCCTGGCAGCAACCCAACAGTCCTTGTGAATGACCTTAGCAGTTCAAATAAAAAATAAAAAAAAGAGAGAGAGAGATAAAACATATCTAGCATAAGTTGATGGTGACAGTTTGAGGAATGATGTAGAAGTTGAGCGTAACAACAGGTGTCATAATACATTTTGCTTACAGTTGCACTGTTTGTGTTCCAGCAGTTACCAAAGATGGAAAACGGTCCATTCAATCGAAAGTCGTGGGCAACGCAGTCCTTGCGTATCACCGCAAAGGAAATGTCACTGGTCAGTGGCCGAGGGAGAAACAATGCCATAGCTGAGCGCTTCTCCAAGTGAGTAACACCCGGTTTTCAGCAGTGTCTGTAAAAACCTTTGAAAAATACAAGAAATTATTGCAGAATACTGTAAGTTACTAGATAATGCCATTGTTTTTATCCCACATGGATACCTCTCACTGTTAATGATATTTCATTTTTCCTCAGGGTTTTTACATATATTATATTGAAAATAGGACAAAGTGTATGACTTCTATTATGTTCTGTTATACTAGAATACCTGGTCTAAGTTCAGGATGTTGTTGTGTCTGCTTGAGCATTTTAGTTCTGCAGCCAGAAAACAAATGATCACCCCTGGCTGACAGTGTATTGAAAATTAATGTAGATAAAATCTCAGTATTTTCCGATTTATAGTTTGTAGTACATAGTGCTTGTTCAAAATACATAAAGAATACTTTTTCACACTTTGTCATTTAATCAAAAAGTATCATCCACTCAAAGTTTGAACAATATAATTGAAAATAAATTAAAACTTTCTCTAAACAAGCTGAAAGCTAAATGACAATGTAGAATAAAAATTCTAAATAAGCCTCTGAAGTAACACAGAAGGAATCTGATGACTTTTAGGAAAAGTAGATATGCGTTTCTTTTTTTGGTTTGAGTCACCAGAGGTCAGCATTGTTTTCTTCTATCTAAGGTACCAGAGAGCTGCTGAGGAGTCAAGTACAGAGAAGAAAAAAGGAGTAAGTGTTTCTGTTAAGCTTTTTAAACAGTATACCAAAACATTTAATTTTGAATGAAGACATCAGTTTAGAGACATCTCTAACTTGATGCTTATGGGGTTAGGTTTAGGGTTCCTATTACACAAATTACATACATAGAGTAAATTGGGATTCAGCACTCTCACCGCTGCGGCCCGGGTTCAAGTAAATGATTCATTAATGACTGGCGAACTGTCCAGGGTGCACCCTAGACAGGTCCCCCAATGTCGGCTGGGATTGGCTCCTCCTTCAGTTGTAGAACAAAGAAACAGCTTTGGCACTCTGATATCCTGATCTTCAGGATATCAGCTGGTGCAGCTGGCCTCTGAACCTGCTGGATCTTTGGAGCGCTAGCATCTGTGCCCATGTCTTCCAGCTCTAAGGATGCTGGTCAGAGCAGATTCAGTCATCTGTTACAGTATATATAACCAGTGATCAAAAACCACAAGATGTAGTTTAGTCTTTCCAGGATCTGGTTAGTTTGTGTGCTTTGTGAAAGAGTACGTTGAAAAATCCAGGATTGTTTTAATCCATGAGTAACTAGTAGAGAAGCATTCACATTTTTACAGTGTATGATCTACTTTACGACTTGTCTTTACACATGCATCTGTCAAGTCAATTTCATGTCCAGCTTATACAGAATGCAACTCAGAAGTGGCCCCCAAGCTGAATTGCCGGTGTTTTACTTGATGTTGTGTGGTGTAGCTCTTCTGATGCTCTACATTCTGTTTTCTATGAAGGCTTTCACATAATGAGTTTTGAATGGCTCTTGTCCTTTTATTGTCCCAGCATTCCATCTTGTCTTGTAGCCATCTGTCAGTTTGTGTCTTTTTTCCCCTAAACTAAAACATTTGCAGACACAGGTTCAGTAGTATCATCTTCAGAAATCATTCAAGAGTGGAAAAATGTCAAAGCCCACACAGCAAACAAAGGGTTAACTGTTCCCTGAATGCATTATTTCCTGTGTTGATTTCCTGGGTATTCTGGCTCCCCCTCTCTCTCTCTTTCTCTCTCTCTCGCGTTGCTGGTGTTTAATGGGTTGGGCTAGCGCTCACAAGTAGATTTAGTCTAGCTGCTAACATCTGGGAATGCTCTCACTGTCTCTCAGCACACCAACCGGTACAGAAGGACCAAACAAAGGACTCGCACTTTTCTTGCTGGTCAGTTGTGATTACACCTTGTCTGGCCACCCCATCGCTGCCACTGAGATTTCTTTTTTCCTTTTCATTTTTGATTACAAAATGGGGAACAATCTTGTCACTGTCCAGTTCTTTCTGTTCACTCTGGCCTCACAAAGACAGTAATTGTGTCTTGTTCATTTTGCCCACATTGGGGTGTTTGTCTCTCATGTTCAGACTTTTAGTCTTATATTCATATTTCTTTCTTCTTTCCTTGTCTTTCTATGCATGTCAATATAAATTATTTGTAGATACATCTCTAAATTAAGTTGAAATTGAATTTGTAACTTGTTTTTAAATAATGTCATAATAGTATTTTAATTTTTCCTTCTGACCAGACCTGCCTACAAAACTCTTGTTCAGTATGATTTATTAGTGGGTTAGTTTACTTATACAAGGGTGATTTATTCTCATGTCCAGATCCTCTTTCTTCAGCGTGACATTCCTCTTTTTATAATTAAGGAAGTTTCTGCTGGTCACACAATAGTAAGCCCCCTGTTTGTTCTGCTCTGCTGTTTGCTGGACAGTGTTGTTTGTTTTTTTTTCTTGCCATGAATGGCTGAGTGGTGAACAGAACTTTTCTCAGTGTTTTGGGAAAGGTGAAGTCATCACGTGGAAATGGAATGTAATTTAAAAATTCTGCTTGCATACTCAGCTCTGCTATCTCCGTCTTGAGCCAATCTCTGCATTCAGCAGCCACAGAAAAACGTCTGTTTCCTGGTCCAACAGCTGTTCGCCTAATCTGTCAGTGAAGATGCGTTTAGATTCAGGCATTTCCTTCATGCTGAATTAGAGTTTAGACTATGAATGGTACAATATATGCTTTGTTGCCAAGTAAAAATGTTTTTATAATTTAGCCTTTACAGACAATGAAACTATTTGACTGTAACTGTTTGACATTTACATTTGCTCACAGTTGAACTACTTTTAATCTCTTCTTCTCTTGCTCACAGTCTTTTGACAGAGCAGCACCCTCCCTGCGGTCAGGCAATCTCAGCGCTCTGAAGAAGCGCTGGGAGCAAGCAGAGAACAACAAAGCTTCCTCCATTCTACCTGATAAGCAATCCATCGCTCGCTGCAGGCCTCCCTCCCTTACCAGACTTCCTTCTGTCAGTGGAAACCCCCCGACACTGAAGAGCCCCAACCTGCTGTCTGCTCAGGGAGGTCAGCCTATAGCTAGTTGTGTCCCGCAGCCATCAGCACCTCCAGAAGCACCTCGAGAAGCACCCAAAGCTGAAGAACAGAGTGCAATGGATAGAGTTGAGCTGACCCATAGTGATAGACCTGAAAAGGTTGAAGCACAAGTTCCAACCAGTCCTTGTGCCTCTTATGAAAAAGCACATTTGCCACTGAACAACCTGAAGATGAAATTTGAGAGGGGAGAGGACACCGTGGGAAAGGTAAAACATCTACTGTAGCTGTTGGAGTGCTATTATCTCAGCTGTGGCAGCCTCTTTGAGACAGTGTGCAGTAGGACACCCCCTCAGTACATTAATCAAATTTTCAAGTGCCTGAAAAATGGACACAAAAGTCTTTAGTTTGTGCATACTTTAGGCATATTTCTTTGCATGAGTCTTTCATAAACGAGACTTTTATTCTCTTTTTATTGACAGCATCATGACCATGTTTCTCAGGCATTAACTGTAGCCACAATGTTGATGGTGGGATTTACTACGCTGATGTTGGCCAGTCTTATAAAACATGGTTACGTTGTATTTTCTGTACTCGTATTTTTAGAAAAAAAGAATGTTTTTCACATGTGGCTAACTTTGTTGCATAACCTGAAGTTTCTTTTCTGACAGTCTTCAAAGTAAACCCACTTAATTTGGTATTTAGAAAGCACCAAATTGCTACAAGGGTTGTCAACTAATTCTCCTGCCTTACAGCAAATGGCATGTAACTTGGACTAAATTAAACAGATCACAGTAATTAATATTTCTATTGTCAATCTGGGACAATTTAATTTGTTTACGACAGCTAAAGCCAAGCTCCTCTCTTTCCCGTTTACTCAGTGCTGAGCATAGTCATGGTTATCTCTTCACACTGACAGAAATACATATTTCCAAATGTTTTCTTACCAGGATTCTCTCTTCACTGTTTTATCTGAAGTAGTCTCTTGTCTCTCCAGCTGCCCCTTTTTCGCCCTCTGTCGGCATCTTTTTTCTTCCTGAGCCCGAACAACGGGAGCTCCACATTTCATATTCCACAAGAGAGAAATGCAAGAACATTCCTGCCCTAGGGCAGTTTCATTCTTCTAAGGATCACATATGAGGAGCAGCAGCCTTTATTTCACTTTTCATTAGCCACAGTACTGGTTCTGGAAAATCCAGAAGTCCTGCTTTTTCAGGTTTAGGTTTTGGTGTTCTAGCCTGTGTGTCATATTATGCAGCCCTGTGTCTGTTCAGCAGCTGCCACACATCTGCTGCACATTCATTCATATTCACAATGCAGTGAGGATGAACACAACCATCTCATCCTGTCTTTCACTCTGTCACTTTTGCCATTGTGCCATGGCTCTCTAGTTCTGGAAGTTGTAGTCTTTTAAAATACTTAGTAATATGAATTAACATCATTATGCCACCACTAGGGAAGGAGTAGTGAAAAAGTTATTGGTGAACATTTGCAGGTTTGACAAGGAGCTGTATATGTGTAACACCTACACTGTCACTGTTGGCTGAGAAGGGTCATACCTTCCTTTTTACACAGTACTGAAACTTTGTAATCTAGCTAGTGTTGCACAACAGGATTTCACAAGAGGCAGCTTGAAAAAATGAGCAGCTTTGTTTGGGCAAAATGCTTTTTCACTCATATGTCTACCTGATAACTGTGGAGAGACGGTCTGGTTTAGTCATTAGAGTACCTGCATTCTAATTGCCTGGAAATATATTAACTTGCTTCCATTTTTTTATACCCTAATATCACTCACGTATTTTTCAAAGACACCCTTATGTGTCAAAGGCTGTGTGATCAGCTGTACAACTTGTACTTTACCTGAATGCCAGAAAACCCTCTCTGTGAAATTATTTAAATTTCATTTTAATTTTTTGTCCTTTACAGTAATTTACAGACTGAAATAGTAGCTTATTGTATCAAATACTGACTGAAATTTTACAATATATACAGCTAGATAAGGAAAGTAAGTTGCTATGCATGTTCTTTCTGTAAATTGATTTATTCTGTACGTTGCTAGAAAATTACAAAACGTCTATGCAGATAAAGAAATGTTTTATGCCATAAACTAAAATTAAATTACGTCAAATGGGATTGGTGGATGTACAAGTTTATAGTACTGGTTTTGTCCTGTCCTGATCTGACCAGTTGTTTTACCCTCACAGGGTGGCAGGACAACACTACGCAGTACGTCGTCAGAAGACATGGACCAGCGTAGTGGTAAAGACAAACAGAGCATGCACACACAGTACTCAGATAATTTACCGATTTTATGTACTCCTCAATACTGGCAAAGAGTACACTTGTGAGATGCAGCCACACATGTGATTAGTTTACTAATGCATTGAGTGTGATGCTCTGCTTTAGGTCCGTCTGTGACTGACAGAGTGCTGGAGTCATCATCCCTGAGGGAGAAGATGGCCAAGTACCAGGCTGCTGTTTCCAAACAAGGCACACGACCTGTGAGTTCATGCAACAAGAGTGGAATTAAAACATGTTCAAAACGTATAATAACAAATATATTTTGAAATGTTTTTTTTGACATTTTTGAGGCATTCAGTGTTATAAATGCATATTTTACAATGGGCCTTTTAATAAAGATGATTTAAAGGCCCATAATTATAAGTTAAGCAATTTCATTAAACAAAGGTTAACTGCATCATGACAGCATAGGATTTTAAGATGAGTGAGCTCTGACATTAGTCAAAAAGCCAAAGTAAAGTTTACATAATAATGGGCACAGCATTGTGTATTGGTTATTTATGGCTCTCTCTCCATGTGTTACCATGTGTCCTTTGTCTGCTCTCTTTCTCTTCCTTCTGACCTACATCAGAAATAGAGAAAATGCATAATGCACCATTATATAACAGCCAGTTAACATAAGTGATCATTGTTGGTTTTGTGTTGTGTGCACGTTAGCTCCAGGGTGTGGACCTCGAGGCGCCAGCTCCAAAAACATCTGCACCTGTACTTCAGAAACACATATCTGAGTGCAATGGTGAGTCTTGGTAGATACTTGGAGGACAGTTATTTCCCCATTTATATAGTAATATCAGATCAGAAATAGACTATTAAATACAATGTTAATATGCCCACACTACCCAAAACGAGATCAGGGTTCATTTGATTGTTCTTTTGGGACGTCTTACTGGATTCTGAGGCGTGTTTAAGTCTTGTATGTTTTGTGTATTTTAGGTGAGAGCAGCGAGCCCTCCAAAGCATCCAGGGTGAGTCAGTCATCACAACAAGCAGGAGACTGCATGAATCATCAATAGAAATCCACTTTCAGCCCCCACTGATTATGGATAAATGTGGCTTGTCTGTTTAGAAGTTCAGCCCACCGGTGAGGGAGATGTGTGTTGCTTGTCTGAAGACAGTGTACCCGGTGGAGAGGCTGGTGGCTCATCAGCATGTCTACCACAAAAGCTGTTTCCGCTGTGCTCACTGCAGCACAAAGCTCAGGTTAGCCTCTTATTGCTAAATACATCCTTCAGTCTTATTTGATGTTTTTTGATGAAAGTAGTTAACTATACTTTAAGTGCAAGTCAAGGGGGTGACTGCAGCTGAAGCAAATAATGTCATTTCTACTTTCTCTTTCTAGTCTTGGGACCTTTGCTTCTTTGCATGATAACATCTACTGTAAGCCCCATTTCAATCAGTTGTTTAAAGCCAAAGGCAACTATGATGAGGGCTTTGGCCATCGGCCTCACAGAGAGCAGTGGCAGTCCCAAGATGATGGAGATGAAAGTAAAGAAGCAGTAAAGCCACAAGCACAAGAGGCTCCGGTAGCAGTGAGGCATCTATCTGAGAGCATCTCAGACAAACAGCCAACTGCAGCCGTGGAAACAGCCCCGCCGGTAAAGGCCTTACTGCGGACGCACACCAGTGCTGGTGAGAAGCCTCAGTCTACAGAAAGGTCAGTGGAGACTCGCAGGCTGAGGATTGCCTGGCCTCCTTCGGCTGGTGAGGGCCACTCTGGGACTGCACAACTTAGTCCAGTCACAGGGGGAGTTACTTCAGGCCGAGCTTGCAGAGCCAAATGGCCCCCAGAGGGAGACGTACCATCGTCCTTAAAGAGTTCAGAGCGGGCTGAACTGAAGAGCCTGAGGAGGAGCTCTTCTCTAAAGGAGCGCAGTCGGCCTTTTACAATTGCAGCAAACCCCAGCCAGGAAACTAATCTGCATCCCAGGGAGCCTCGGCGCCCTCTCAAGTCCCTGCTGAAATGGAAAGCATCATTTGAGGAAAAGGAGTCGCGCAGAGAAAAGAAGCCCGAGCTCCAGCAGGTGAAACAGCAGGAAAAGACAGAGCAGAAGATGCCTCAAGGAGATGCAGTAGGTGAGACCATCTTAAAGGAGGACTCCAAGGTAAAGAAGCAGCAGGAAGAGAAAGAAGAAGAAGAAGAAGAAGTACAGAGAGAAAATGTGTCAGCGGCAGCAGACAAGATGGCAGCAGAAGAACATTCTCTGAGAAGTAGCTCACCACCCCCCTCTCCACCTCTGCAGCCTGAACAGAACCGTACCTCCCAGGATGTGGGCTTCTGGGAGGAGGACAAAGAAGGAAGTGATGCTGAGGAGCTGAGTGCAGAGGATATAATCAAGAGGAACCGCTACTATGGGGAGACGGAGGAGGACTCTGACTCATAGGAGTGTGTCACAGTCTTATTATCTTGTCCATCCACCATATAACACTTTACTTAGTTTATAGGTGGATCGTGCATTTAGCTTTGCCAGATTTTATAGCGTTGATGGAGAGCTGTAATACTAGTTGTGTGTATGTGCATATTTAATAACCGCCTTAATTTCTTAAAGTATGAGTATCAGATTGTTTATATTTTAATTGGATGCTGTAAAAATGTGTAATACAGGTTTTCTATGATTCGTGATTCTTCTGGGACATGTGCCTCTGCAGTATGAAACTCAATCAGTGCACTTCTGGACCTCATCATCTTACAATTATAAGCATCAGTGGTGTATTATTTGCAGGGGATGTGTCTAAAATACTTTGTGGCAACTAAATGTACTTTTTAATTATAAGGAGTACCAGGCTGCATCAAACAAAACAGTAATTATTAGAATTTTTGCCTTTCCTAGAAGCAGAAAAGATGTAAATCTCATACCAAAAAAGGGTACAGTCGTACTGTTTTTACAGTGTTGGAGAACAAATGTCTGTGCATATTATAGTTTACATTTTTTGCACATCTCCCTAATTTAAGATACATTAGGGAAAAGAAAACAAAACCTAAATGAGCACACTATGGACTAGGATTTGGCAAACCTCCAAACCAGAACAGGAAATGGACTGCACTTAAAGTTCCTTCCCAGATGAAGCGCCTTACAGTTTCTGCCACCCATTCAACCGTTCACACACTGATGGAGCTGCCATGCAAGGCCCCTGCGCACCAGTTTTAGGTTCAGTGTCTTGCGCCAGGCACACACATAATGATAAAATGCTGTACTGTATATTGGGCAATATGACGATACTGTTCAGATAATATCAAAAGTCTGCTTTTTTTGAAAGTTTTGTTTGTTGCTGAGGCTTCACCTTCTCCCACCATCTGAGTAATCACCAGTTCTGTAAATGCACTCGGTAAACGATATTGACACTATCCTGTAGGGCGTCTGTGGTTTGGTAAAAAACCCAGGAGACCTCAGACACCAGATTATATCATGTGTTGGGAGTTTGAACGTGTTCTATTGTTTTGTCAGATAGAGATTACATTTATTTTGAAAAAACTGAAGGAGATTGTTGGTCCTGGTCAAACTCTCATCTCATAATGTTCAAACCACAATTAATACAAAAATCAGGAGATTTATTAAGGTTTCTATTGATAGCTGTCCTGTCAGTTCACTATCTCTCTCTCTCTCTATGTGTGTATCATCTTTTGGGCTTCCTGGATTTGTGCTTCACATTTCTAAATGTGATTCAGTTAACATATTTTAGTGTGCTGTGGAATATGTTTGCACTACAGAATTTTTTTTTAAATAATTTGTATGACACTGAGGATTAAGTTTTATCAATAAAATCCAGAGTTTACACAAAACTTCATGATACACTTACTATCTATTAAATGGTGTTACACACACTCAAAGCACTTTCACACACATTTGACCATTCACACTCGCACAGCGGTGTCATCACCGGGAGCAACTGGGGGTTCAGTGTCTTGCTCAAGGACACTTCAATATGCAGAGAATCAAACCACTGATCTTCCGGTTAGAAGACGACCCGCTCTACCTCCTGAGCCACAGCTGCCCTATTAGACTTAATGTCCTGGTTTTCTGTCTTTTGTGAAGAATTTACAGTAATCCAGTATACTTTAAGCATACATGAGCACGCTTCCTGGTGAGTGCACGTTAAATCCTTTTAAAAACCAAGTAAAGTTTAATGTCTCTATTATTTTACCCTGGTACTACAACACATTGGAGAGTTGAGATAATATACATAATTTGGGGGTTGAAACATATTTGCATTTACATGTCTAACCATCTGGCAGCACAAAGTATTATTTGTATTAAAACTGATGGGAACAGAAAAAGGACAAGTGGAGCCAGAAGTGTTGTGAATGTAAATATTCTTTATTTTGAAACTTATTTTTGTTTGATTGCTTTTATTGTAAAAAGACATGACAGAAAAGCCAAGTTGAAACAAAACCACAGAAGACGTGGTATTTGAGGAGCTGAGAGTGAATTATGTTATTGGTTTCATGATTAAACCCACAAAAGTTGCAAATAACTGATAATTATGAGTAGCAGACAAGCAGCAGCAGCAGACCATTATCAGCTCCCATGAACTGAGATGATGACTGACACATGGTGTGTTCACCAAAACTGGATGATGCGAGTGAGAAATGAAAACCCAGACATGAATAAACATCACCAGAGTACGGACTGATGTGACAGCATGCTGTGCCTTTCCTCAGCACACAGTTAGCAGCAGTTGATCATCACATGAACACAAATCTTTCGAAATTTCATGCAGTCAGACCTAATTCAAATGAACTCCAACAAGTTTTGGAGGCCAACGTAGATCCAATAATGATTTTAGATCTTCCAGTGGCCTGCACCTATGGAATAAGGCGGAGTAGGTCGTTTTCAGCTCAAGTGTAGCTCAACCAACTTCTGTCAACATGAACCCACAGATTTTTTTTTTGCTCATCAGATCACATGTTGAGAGCATGCTGGTCATTACAGACATCTGAAATCTAATCAGCATCTCACTGTAAAGTATACTAGCTACACATAAATTGCACAATGGTAGCCATTTCATCAGATTAAAACAAATAAAACATTAATTAACCAATTTAAACCTTTTACAAGTTGTCACTAGTGGCGCTCACTTGATATTTGTTTATAAATAAAAGACAGAAATCTACAGAGAAACCTGTTTTAAGTGTAGTATGAGTTGATGAATTTCTGAGAAACAATAACCGAGTTTTAACGTTAAACCTTTTAACAAAAGCATTAATGATAAATAACATTTGTGGGAAACAACAGCTGTATTCAACATGCAGCAAAATTACAAAAGTTACCTATAAAAAGTCAAGGTCATTTTGATTTTCAAATATACCTGAGAGCAATAAGTCTTAGATATGGCTTCAACATTCAGAGCTACTATACCATGTTTTGTCATCGATTACGTGTCCTGACACGGTTGATGCTCAAGAAAACTGCTCTTCACGATTCTCCTTTTTTGAACAAAATTGGTATTTCATCCTATGTACGTTGATGATTCATGGTGTCTTTTTTGTAATATTTCATTTGTTCAAATGGTCTAATTTCTCAAAAGGTTTAAAGGTCTGATTTCTCATAAAGAAAAATAGTATGCTTGGCATCACTTTCATTAAGAGAATATATATTTTGTATTTTTTGTTTGATTGTGTATGTGTCTAAGTCTAATTGTACATACTCAAAGAATATATAAAGCACCGGCTGTACTTGGACTCCAAGTTTTTTTCTCTAGTGGAAAATAACATGCAGAGCAATTTATAAGAGGTAAAAACAGAAGCTGATACGACATGTCAGCAACTGTTGGTCAAGTTAGTCTGACCTTCTTCCGACATGATTTTTGGTTCGGCTCCAACATCTTTTAGACGTGGATGATCACAAATATGAACTGTAGTGACAGTACACTGTCAACAACAAAACTCATACCTGTGTAAAAAAAAAAGAAAAAAAAAAAAGACGACAGCTAGTCATGATCAGTGAACCGCCTGATCTGGAATTTTACTTTTTAATGATCATTGCAATATAAAAATTAAAGGTCCTAATTGTGGTTTGAATTTATTTCAACAAACTGCTATTCCACTTAACTATCCCATTTTGCCCAGTATATGTGGTTCACACAGTTGCCATGCAATATGTTATAATAACTGTATGGAATGACTCCATGTCAGAACAAGTGCCCGCACTCAGACAACCACAGCAATAAAGATGCTAGCTGCACTCAATTGTTTCACAGTGTAAACTCACTCATTCAGTGCACGACTTTTTCACTGGAAGATGTTCTGAGAACGATTTTCCAAACTTAGTCGCTCTCACCACTGAGTGTCAGTAATACACCATCAACTGGAAGTAGCACGGCAGACCTCTGGTGTTAGCACAGAACGGCTGCAGCCTGTGTGAGCGGTGCTACACTTTTGCTAAAATATTATATTGTAGATAATGATAATCCTCTTATTAGGACAGATTGGGTCCATTTGATAGCTGGGGCCTGCTTTATTTGGCTTTTAAACTTCAGTTTCCTCTGAGACCCTTTTATGTCATTTTATTAACTCACAAACAAATGTCAAAAAAATAGTGTTTTACCCATATAAACCTGTGACACCGGTTTAACAATTTCTTACAGTATGAAACCATTATAAAGCTATTTTTAGGCACACATGTAACATTAACATAAATTATTTTGATAGTTCCTACTAGAAATTGTATGGCAGCATGTTAGATCATTCCTACAGCACGATGGAGCCACAGTTACCTCCTACACTGGAGTGACTTCTTGGAGCCTGTTGACATGGAGGTATTATTTAATGTTCGGTGTACTAGAGCTCAATCACTCCTTTTGGTCTGATTTCACCTTTCAGTTCTATTTCCTCCACTGTATTCAGCCACTCAGGGGGTGCAAGTCCACTCTGACTTTCTCTCCAGTGCTCATCATGCCAATAGTGGGGTAGAAGCCTCCTATTGGTAAGCCCACTTCCCTTCGACCCACCACTTTTCCATTTCGAGTGAAGAACACCTGTTCAAACAAAGAGCACCGACAAAGAGATTATATGAATGTCTGCAATGAAAGTCTCCAGTTTTATATTCCTAGATTCTCAGGGCACCTTACCGTGACCTTCCTCCCATCCAAATCTTCCCCCCGATCCTCTTCATCTTCATTGTTTGCATACGAGTCATTCTCAACCTTGTTGGGCTTCAGACACTCATCGAAGTCCCAGTCATTTCCATCTTCTGAAAGCGCACAGACATGGAAATAGAACAAACAACATTGTATGGAAAGCAGCATAGCGCTCTGAAAAAAAAAAAAAGGAAACAGTATAAATGTGTTCACCTCCAGCTTCAAGGTTGAAGTCACGTGGAAACATGATCCCACAGCCCATAATGTCCCCTTCAAAGCAGCGTGGTCCAAACTGGTCCCCAACCCCACTTCCCTGGAACAATTTTCCATCATCTACAAATTGAAAACAGGGAGGTTGATCAGTGCTTTATGTCACACACATGAGAGTGTGATGCAAACAAAACAAAGATGCAAATATCAAACTGCAAACAACTTTTGTCATTGCTAACATTTATATAATACTTTATTTGACCAGTAACATCCATCCTACAGGCAACTCAAGAGTTAATAGTTCACCAGAATGAATTGGACCGTGGGAGGAAACTGGAGCAACCAGAAAAAACCCACACACACAGGAGAGAACATGCATCAAATATTAAGTTAGAGCAATAATACTCATAGGTTTACTGGGAACTAGTTGCAGCAATGAGCTGTTTTGGCAGATCCCAGAATCCAGACACGGAAATCAAGGATAACCTTTGTAAATATTCCATTATTATTATCAATAATAATAACGAGAAAACATTAGCCAGAATCATGACTAACAGTCTTGTGCCATTAAAAATGTGATTGTGACACACAAAAAACCCATACTCTACACAATACAAGCTAGAATTAGAAGACAGTGACACTGTCCATAATGACGGTGAATCTATAACATGAATTGAGTTTGAATACAAAATGTGTACAGAAAAAAAAAACACAATGATGGAGCATCATGCACCACCGTGATCGGCCAGCACTCACCTGCATGATAGGCTATGGAGCCCCTGCTCCAACCTGGATGTCTGTTTTTAGGGTAGTCCTTTAAATCAAAAGACAAAATCTTAGGACACAAGTACACTGAGTTCATTTTCTAATTAAAAACATATATAAAATAAAATTATAAAAAACAGACAATAAGAGTTTCCCTGAAGGACTATTCGGGGGTGGGTTAATGTCGAGTGTGAGCGCAACAGTGATCCACCACCTCACAGCTGGAAAAGCAGCAGGGTGATGCTCAGTCAGTTAATTTCCAATATTGAAGTACAAGCAGAACAACAACATCTGAGCTGTGCTTCATTTCATGTCTGTCGTTTAAATTAGACAATGACTGCATCCTCAGCAACTCTTGCACAGTTTTATTTATAATGAACTGGATGTGAACTGTGAGTTCATGACTCCAAAGTGTGGCCAAAGTCGGATGAATGCATCTCTGGTGTGTAAAAATTCAACTCTCTGACCCAACTTACTTTGAAAATATCAATCATCACGTGCTGTCACCATTTGTGACTAAATATAACCTAACTGAGGAAATGATTAGATTAGGATATCAACCTTAAGTTGCTTAGCCTGAGGAACTCCTGCACAGTTTTCATTCTTTTCTATCTGCTCCTTTTTGGGTAAACTGACAATGAAACAGAAACAAAAAGGTTAATTTTCCCATGAAGTATTCTAGGTAGCGTGTGCAACTGGAACAAGCTGCTTTTAATGGAAAACCAGATTTGTGGGTAAAATGAGACTATATTTATTCTGTTAGCTCCTCCTCGTTTGGTCATCCATCAATCAGACTGGACACAGTGAGAGCAGCGGTGCATATGAGGATGAGTTAGAGTAGGGGAAGGAGTCTTTACCAACGCATAGCCACAGAGTGTGTACAGTAAGTGTTACGGTGTGTTAATGTTAATGAGGTGATCATTATCTTGATGACTAAAATGAGGAGACTTGTACCCTGTGTGCCAGCCCCAGGGCGATGTAACATTTCTCTCCAGCATCTGTGATCTCTAGCTCATAGTAGTGGAAGCGCGTGTTGAGAGGCTGACGAGCTTGAGCCAAGCCCACGTCCACGATGCTCTTCCCTTTCCCCATGTACTCCAGCAACTGAGGAAGCAACATGCACAGAAATACAGGTTATGACTGTTCAGATTAATTTTCTATAAAGTTAAAGAATTTGTGTCTAAATATCTAAAATGAAAGGGATCGCTCACAGTGATCAGCCAACAGATATTGATATTCCTTGCAAATTCACTCAAATCCTTGTTTTTTTAACTTAGCTTTGCAGTAATTTTTGCATTTTATTACTTTGATTATTTGAAACGTGACCTTGTTTTATAACCCCAAACCTGAAAAAGTTGGGATGGTGTGTAAAATCTAAATTAAAAGTGAAAATAGTGATTTGTAAATCATGTTTCCTGATGCGACACCTCATCAATTTTATTCTTTGCTCAAAATAAACACTCACTTCAATTCTGATGCTGCAACACAAAAAAGCAAAAAAGGGCAACATGTCCAAATCCCTTCCTATTTTTCATTGAGGAACATTGTTTTTAAACATATCAATAATTTTCTCACACATATGTTGGCAAACTGGCGGTCCTCGGCCCATCTTTGCTCCTAAAGGTCTCGGCCTTTCTTGATGCCACTTTTCTACCAAATCATGATGCAGTCACCTGTTGAAATCACCTGTTTCAAATGGAATCATCTTTTCATTGTTTTACCTCATTACTGGCCCTGAAATTCAACCGTCCCAACTTCAACATCAGAATTGAAGTGAACATGATGAGGTATCGCATCACATAATATGCTGCTGTGTTGTTTTCAGTGCCACACAGGGCACATATGATTTACAAATCACTATTTTCAGTTTTAATTTTGATTTTACAACTTTTTCTGATTTGTAGTTGTAGCCAAGCAGGTGGTTGGGCCTACTTTATGTAGGTGTGTCAGCCAGACTGTGCAGAAACAGTTCCCCCAGTCTGTACACAATGTTTCACTGCTCGTTTTAGCATGTCTGACTTTGCTCTGGCTGCTGCCTGCTCCTCAGGTTGAAACTAGCAAAAATTAAAGAAGATTAGAGATCATGTTTTATTCAGAAACGATCCTATTAGGAATGTTAAAATGATGATTTGTCATCCTGAACTGTACTATTTTGGGACTAAAAGCAAAGTCACAATAACAGGGACAACATAACTACATTTACACACTGACTTGATGCAGCAGAGAAAATCAGCACCACCAAAGCTGAATCCTTTCCACACACACGTGGTCTTATAATATGACCATCTGAAAATTACATTAGTGAAAACAAAACAATTGTATTCCTTGAGCTGTTCTGCCCAAAATCTCACAACCAACACAGCTGACAATATGCTTGGTTAAATTCACTCTATTTAACTTAACTAATAAAACAAAAGTTCAACATCTGCATTCAACTGCTAGAAGCCCGGTAGTATTATAGTAAAGCACCACTCATGTAACTGATGAGTTACACATGAGGGATTTCAGATTGCGGTCTGTGGGCCCTGCTTTCACACAGGACAGGGCCAGAGTTGTTGACATGAAGGATGAATACATGTGTGGATGGCGTGCAGGTTAGTCGCTTGTGCCTATGGGCTGTTCAGCTGCGGTCTCCTCCCTTCCTCTTTCAGGTCAGGTTTTGTGTGTATCAACACCTGAGTCAGACACAAACATTGCAGCCATGCCGTGAGATGGAGGGGTGGAGACCAAAACAGATAAAGAAAGGAGGTCACTGAGCACCTTTGAGGAAAACTGTTTCCATCTCCACCTCTTTTATCTTGTGCTTAGCAACAGCTAATATTTACATCTGAACTTCTGTATCGGCTATTTGACTGCTTGGCTTAGGATTTACAGTCTACTGTTTTGCACTTTGCCTTATTGATCTTCAATAACGTTTTTTCTGGTTTTGGATTTCAGATATCCAAGTACAAACAGTGACAATACGTTTGTGAGCAGGGTTGACTTTAACTTTTTGATAAATTCCTGTTGTGCTTAATCATGTCAACAGAAACCAGCTGAGAAGATGGCAAGTGTGTGTGCGGTTTAAGAAGCAGGCACACCTACGATGCGGAGGGATTTACCCACCATCCTTCTGCTAGCTTCGCCTCTGTGACTGCACACCAGAAGGTCCGACCACAGCTGTGGCTCACACCCCTCTTCAACTCCTAACAAAATTACATGACTCATGTAGATGTGGCTGTGGCTAACATTAGCAAGTCAGCTAAGAACACACAACATTCAAATAAGACAACTTGGCATTTACCGAGAGTCACACTTCTCCTCTTTTATATAAGCTAACCTCCTCCCTCCAGGTCCACCCCCCACCCCCACCCCCTCCAGCAGCAAGATAACATGTACTAGACCAGTCCTTTTAGCTGAACACAGAGAGCCAAGCTTCCAGTTAGATAGCAAACAAGCCCACTAACATATCAAAGCAACAGAGAGTTATTATAATTAGCATCTGTGACATTACTGCTGAATGTCAAATTATAACCCCTTACACTTCTCATTACTGAAAAACATAATCGCATTACTGTAATGTTTTACAAGCACTGTGTTCCTTCCCAACACTGATCGTGAACTTCTGACGGAGACCTTTTTTAATGGCCTGCTCTGACTCCAGTGTTAATTTGACACCTGAATTTGATTTAGTCTCCTCATGAAAATACACATTACTTTTAGTCAACTTTTAGTCTTTTGATTTTTGTTAGTTTTAGTCCAGTTTGGTGAATAAAAACTAATACATTTTAGTCTAGTTTTCATTATTTTATCCTGCTTTTTTAAATATTTATAGTATATTGTCTTCATCTTTGTCATGTACAATTACCACCGTTACAGGTGATGTTCCCATCCATCCAGAGGTTTTTGGAGACCAGTGTTTGTTTATTCACACAGCGTCCCTCTGCTCTGCGGAAGATGGACACACTCACATTTATACTAAAATCCTCCTTGTTGGGTTCAGCTTGAGAGGTGATGCTAAATCGTCAGACAGCATTAAAACAGTGAGATCTCTGCAGCGAACATTTATGTCCCTATAGCTTTTTTTTTATGTGTATGTAATTCTCTGATTCATAAGCTGTTTCTTCCAAGAAGCATTAAATGCTAGATGATAGACGAGACAGCCCGTTACTAATGTGAGTAAGTTGTGAAACACATTAAGCACTAATTCAGTACCTGAACTAGACATCTTTTGGCTGGTGGGTGAAACTGTTTCACCGATCAGAAGCTCCAGTTTGTGATTCCACAGATGCAGGTTTCATGTCCATTCGTCTGTCTTTCACATTATCGTTTAGTTTTTATTCAGTGATGAAGAATGTAAAACATTTTGTCAAAGTTCTCTTTAACAAATTATACTTATTTGGCTTTAGTCACATTTTCATCCTGAGAAACAGGTTGTCAATGAATATTTTTCATCATAGTCTTCTATGAAAAAAGTAACACTGCCTGACAGGCAGACCAGCTTGCAGTAAAACTAGTAATAATTTAACTGCAATAACAGATGGCTATTTTTGTCTATCCCCCTGCTTCATGACTTACCATGCCAGTCACTTTGATATCATGGAGACGGCTCCAGTCCTCTTCATGACTGTCCACTATCATCTGTACATCATCCTCATCCACCCCCCATTCAGCATTCAGGTCCAGCAGCACCTCTTCCCCGAGAGAGTGCATTCCCACAGCGGGATGGAGAGTATCAGGAGATGCTGGGATTTCCACACTGCCAACCTGAGCACACATTCAGATACAGTACAGGCTACAGATGTATGACCAGAATAAAAGACACATTCACTTGTAAATGTGTACTGGTTGAACTGTCCAGTATAAAGTAATATAATGAAAATGCAGTACATACTTCTTTACCATTCTTGGTAAAAAACACAGTGAACTGCCCATCATCACTGTCCAGGGACATTCCACAGCCAATTTTGTCACCTCTGCAGCATTTTGGACCAAACTGCTGTCCTACAGTGTTTCCATTATACAGCCTGTGGAAAGACACATAGAAAAGGTTGAGCTGCTCATCATTAAGGCACTTTCAGATTTCTCAAATATTCACAGAAAAACATCATAAGACACTCAGAAATTGCTTCCAGTAACAGTATGTCTCTCTAAGTAATAAAAAAAAAAAAAACTTTAAATGTTTACAGCACCTAGTGTATGTACTGAAAATTATACTATATTTTCAGCCAGATTTCATATTATTGAACTCCATTTCATTATGTTCATAGAAATCACTGATAAACTCTATATTTATAAATAAGAAGTCCTCTGCTCTTGGTTTCTCAATCTGTAACATGAGCACAGACGTATATGAGTGAAAGTGTTTTGTAGGGCTGTATGAAACTGACAGGAGGCGTGTATATTTCTGTTGCATCTCCATGTCATATGTCCTTAAGAACATGTTCAGTCTACGCAGTACAGTAAATAAAATCACCAGTGACACATACTTTCCATCATCAGCGTGAAAAGCCACGGACTGTGGGAGCCAGCCTGGCTGATGGTCCAGTTTGTAGAACTGAGGCACCAAACCGATAGCAATCATCCCCCTTACTCCTGTATCCATGATGGTCACCTGCAAAGACAATGGGCTAATTTACCACCAGAAACAAGAGGAATTTATGAGACTGTTCTTAAAGAACCCCAAAACTGAATCTTCCCCCAAATTTAAAATGGTAACCTCACACAATTTTGTCTTCAATTGGAAGGATTTTTTTTTTTATATCTAAACAACATGATATTAGCGAGACTTGTGTACTAAACATCACCAGAAGCTGCAAGTAATAATGTGAGGAGTCATTTCATATTTCCTCTGACACATCTTTCGACGCCAACATACAATATAAAAGGCACTGTGTTAACAGCCACAGCAACGAGTCATAAACTAGTCATTACACATCATGTGTGGGAGGCTGTCTAAGTAGGACAAATATTGTCAAGACAGAGGAAAGGGAGGCATAGGGGAGGGGTGCAGATATACAGCATGGCTTTTTAATAAAATTTGGTTTCCTATGGTGGATGGTTTCAAAAAAGGTGATTCAGTCACTGCGATAAATTAAGCTGGTATACTATGTTCACAAATCAAGTTTTACTCAAGCAAAGTAACAGGTTTATATAGCTAACATTACTTTTTAGGCTACGGCCATGGTAGCGGGTCTGTGAGGCTGTACTTAGGTACAGAGGTGCTTTGAGCTCAATCATGACAACACACACAATTATAATACTGACATGCTGATGTTTAGCCAGTTTAATGTTTGTTCTCCATCTTAATTTAATGTGTTCAATTCTAACATTTGCTATTTAGCACTGAAATCAAAGTACAGCAGAGGCACATTGGAATGTCAGTTATTTTACAGGTATTTAGTCAAAAACTACTGGACAAATGCAATGTTGATACTGGTAGCACTTCAGGTTTCAAGAGATCACCAAAGTCAGAGGGATTCATTCTCTGTGGACCATGAATGTCTGTCCAAAGTTTCGCCGTGGTACACCCGTCTGGACGACTGTAGTCCAACTCCCAGTTTAGAGTGTAATCATTACTGGGGAGGGAATATCATATAAGATGAACAGAAAACATTCAAAATAAGTGCTTCAGTGCCGCAGGTTTATCCACCTGAATCATTTGCTGTTTCTGTTCTCTAAGGCTCCAGTCCACAGTTTTACTTGCCTATTTGGATTTTGGGTTGGCACCGCTTCTCTTTTCACTTCATGGATTTTCCAAACCAACCTGAAACTACACAGTGGGTCTTTTTACAACCTCACATGATGGTTCACAATGAAAACACGTTAAAAAACTGGCCCGCACTGTTATCATAGCTGAACCATATGACATCATCCCTAGGAGGTCCTACATGGATGAACAGCAACCCGAGCACAGCTGGCAAATCCCGGGCAAGGAGAAGAGAAAACTTTTAATTCTTTCCCATGACCTCAACATTGATTTTCTGGAAGTAAGAAGCAACACATCCCCTTTTCTGCCAGTGTAAAACACGCAGACAACCCCTAAACACTACTGTGAGATCAATGAACATTCCCTTAACCATCATTTATTAGCTCAAATGCTCATTTAGACCAGTTGCTTCCTCCCTCCTCCTCCTCCATGTCTCCCATAGACTGAGTCACAGGGCTGAAGCACACGCAAGTTTAAAGGTTGAGGTTCAATTACTGTTTCACTACACGTCAGACTGGCGTAGGACGTGTGTGTTAGGCAAGTTTGCACATGATTTATACTGAGAAACAGTCACTATCCTGACATGTTTGTGCACTTCCACAACAACATATAAAGAGCTGCCAAGTAATTACACAACTGTTTCCAAGCTAAAACACCTTTGTTTCTCAGACACGTGCTATTCCCACGAGGAGGTGTCACGGTGTGTTTTATTATGGCTCAGGAAGATGAAGGTGAACAGTCAGACAGGGCAGCCTGCCAGGTCTTCTCTCATCACAGACTGAAGGCAGTATCCTACATCCATAATATGGACTCACACAGTAAAGATAACCGTTCTAATCTTCATGGTGTACAGTTTTCACAGTCAACACAAGTAATGAATATACTTTATCACCTTGTATTCACAGGAGATGATACCAAAGGGCACCAATCACACTATGACTATGGAGCAATGCACACTAAACGCTAACAGTTTATTTTTAATTTCCTGAAATGCATCAGAGCTAATCAGATACTAGCAAACTAACATCTAGAAGTCCAAACTTTGATTTTATTATTTCCAACACTTGAAGAGCTTCTCCATACATAAAAATATCTGTATGCATTATTAACTTTGTCAAAGTTCCACTGTGATGACAAGCCCTTGTTAAAATTAGTATGTAGTACAGGAATGGGGAGACAGCAGGTCACGGTGCAGAGGCAAGTGCTGTAGTTTAGCTGGGAAATTTTCATGTGAAAGCAAATCAGTAGCATTTGAAGCTGTAACATTTCCTTAACTTAGTGCGTTTTTAAATTGACAGTTGTGTGTAGGGATGCACCATTACTAATACCAGTATCGGGTACTGGGTCTGACACTTGTACTCATAAAAGTTATCCGATACAAACACAACCACTTAGCTATATTACCTCACACTGGCTGAGCAAGTAGTTTGGCGGGGCAGAAGAAATTTCAGCGGTTTGGAGATATTTCAACTTAAGTGATGACAACAATGATTGTAAGCTCTGCTTTCCTGCTCTGTGCATCTCCCTCAGGGCAGTGGAGTAAAGACAGGGATGTATTTTACTCAAGATGACAATACTCAATATGTGCAACAAAATTTGGCAGTAATAGAGAAAATGAGTAATTTATCAAACACTTGTTAAACAAGTAAAACACACGTTTTTAAGAGGAGGCTCTTGGGTTTTATCATTCTGAAATAATTACAGACTATTTGGAGTTTTGATAGGTGCAAAGCTAATCTAGAGGTGCCAAATATTAAACACTAAATGGCTGTAAATGAGGAAAATGAGCATGCCATGGCCATTTTAAAGAATTGAGATGTCTTCACTCTCCCCGCGGTGAACTCGCCGGGTCCCCTGTTTACAGACTAAACTCATACAGTGCTCATTAGTCCAGTAAGTGTAGTGAAATGTTGTGAATGAAAGGAGGCTGAAAAATATTTTCATCCTAATTGGAGCAGTTTGCACTCCTAAAAAAGGTAAAGAACCACTGTGTTACAATATATTGTGTAGGATTTAAATTTAGTCAGTTCCACGTTACATGTAATTGGAGTGGTGGCAATGCCATGTTTGTTTACATGTTTATTAAGTACTCATGCTCTGTCTGCAAATAGGAGATGTTTCCTTTCTTTTGTGTCAAATTAATAGTCATGAACTGAGAGAAAGTCATCAAATCTTACTTCAAAATAGCGATTTCTTCTCGACAGTGGCCTGGATGCCACAAAACAGCCAACTTCATCTGAATTTCCATCGTATCTGTGAAGAGATCCAAAGAGAAAAAATTTGAATATTGCTATTTTGACCACTCCAGAATGCAAAAGAAGGGCTCTAACACAAAAACCTGTGAACAAACCAACTGACTACAATAGATGTCCAGTTTCAACTCTCATGGTGGCACTGATCATCACTGTTACCTGAGTACGTCTCCATCTCTGATCATCTTTTTGAGTCGCTCTCTGTATCGTGCTGCTCGCAACATACGTGCTCGGAATTGCCTCCTACAGTTCAGAAAGCGGTTATGAAGGTTTATGTCGTCCATGTCTGAAAATCATTGCAATCTAGACACAGGGAAACAAATAAAAAAAAAAAACAACTTTAAAGCTTTATTACTATTGCTTGTGTTGTTTGCCTGTTTCTGAGTCTAATCTTTGGAGATGCTTCCACTGTTGATGCAGACAAGCAGAGCAATCATGATGAACAACTCTAGAACAAATAGCTAAATCTCACAAAATCTGTAAGCCGAAGGAGAGATGCCCAGAATGTGTGTCACCTATTTGCATTAGCCCTGTCATGGCCGGGTGCCTTTGAGTCTTCCACCTAACATTTGAACTCAGTTTATCTGGGTTAATATTTTGGGCAAAATGTTTTCAATCTAGACCTGGTCTAATATGGTCTCTCAGGAAAATTAACTCTCCCCTGAATTGCCAAACTGAACACTGGGCAGATAGCAAAAATGTTCAGGCGAATACTTGGGCCCCATATTTGTGTTTCTTCAAGCCCAATAAACATCTGGGTTCTTGGCCAAGTCTATCTGTCAGATGCTCATTTCACATCTGGGTCAGTGTTGGTGCACACAGGAAATCTGGCTGGTGGATAACTGCCCAAATCAACCCAGAACTGACTGTGGCCTGGATAACCTAAGCATAGTGATTATTTTATCAGTTAGTGAGGAATAATTTATTCCATAAAATGTTAGAAAGCAGTTAATAATCCCTGATACAACACCAAGGTGATGTCTTCAGTTTGATCATTTTCTTAATAATATTCTGTATTTACTTTAGGATATGAGAGTTAATCTGCTAATTTGAAAAGCTGGAGCTAGAAAATGTTTGAGGACTTTACTAAAAGATAAACTGATTAGCAAAATATTTTTTATAGCTGATTCTTTTTTGTCAAACAGTCAATTGATCATTTCAGTTCCACAGTAGTTCATTACATGTGCAGTGGTAGTAACTATGAAGTCTATATAAATTTACCAAACTGAACATTTGTACAGTTTTGACACTTGTGCCTTTACCATTTTCTGCTACCTTATTTTTTTTACTTCACTACAATTTAGAGTGAAGCTTTTGCACTTTTTACCTGACTAATAACAACATTATACATTCTGAATAAGTGCCAAGTACACACTTAAGATACAATGAGTACTTTACGTACATTAAATATATTTTGATGCTAATACTTTGAATGTGCGGCCTTTACTTGTAGCTACGTGTTTGGACACAGCGGTATTGCTTCTTTCACTTAAGTAAAGGGTTTGAGTATTTCCTCCATTATGGTACGTGTGAAAACAATTGCACTATTCCCATTATGCTTGTCGACGAAGCCGGAATGACTCAGGTGAACGCACTTTTTCCGTTTTGTTTGTCCACTAAAATGTATCACTCAGTACAAGTCTTACTAGATGGACATATACATTCACTTACATACACTTCAGTACGCAGCCCACACGAACAGACTCCTGTAGGGGTGAAATGGGCTAGTTTCGCTCGTAAAAAAAGGCTGAAAATGTTGTCTTTTCTACTTAAAACATGGACAGTGGAAGTAAATTGTGAGCTCATTTTTGTGAATGATGACAAAACCAAAGTATCAGATCAAATACGACCAGTAAAGAGCCAAATTTTTAACTGGTAGTGTGTATTATAAAGTCAACAAATAAGTGCGATGTTATTATTTGTTGACTTTTACAGTTTACTCATTTACGAGCACCTCATAAACGCCGCATTACATTTCCCAAACTACAGGCAGGACTCTGTTGACCGGCTAGCTGTTTTCCCCGTCTTGACATTATCGTGCAGTATGATTGATATTGTCATGTAAACATGGATATCTCTCAAGTTAGACCCACACTGTTGAATGTCCATTAGTCTTATATTGATTCCTTACTGTTTTAAAACTTGTAACGCGTCGTCCTTCGCTTTTTCTTCTAATTTTAAGGAGATGAAGTCAGTCACTTAACGTCCAAACTGCGTTGTCGGAAGTTCCGCCCTCTCAGCCAATCACATCAGAGGATGAATTCATTGTGTTTAACATGTTCAGTGCCGCGCGTTTCATTGGTCTTATGCCTCTTACATATAATCGCTATTTTATGAAATGAAAAAAAAAAACATTTTTGTGTTTGTGAAGGGCATATTTACCGTTTATTTTTACAACTGTTATTTGAGCAACTAGATACTGTTTTACGTTTGGAAGGTCATCACAGAAGAGCTTTAAGTTTTGCTTTAATAACAAAAAGGTGGACATTCCATACATTCCATTTAACGTTGCATTCAGGCTTTTCTCTCTGGAGAAACAATCTGTGAAACGCACAAAGAAAAAGACCTGCCATCATCACCCTGGAGAGCAACACTGAATTGACACCCAACAATTCCTCTGTATGTGATTAGTAACTGTTACTAGGGCTGGGGCATAGAAATAAAATCATCTATCATTGTGTCATTTTATGTTGTGCAGTGGTATGCAGTGGAAAGAGAAAGTAGGTTAAGTGAACCTAATGGAATTATCTGCATTTATTTATAAAGTTGTAGCTTATGGTCAGAACAAAATTTCTTTTAACTTCATTCATGTGCCTGGGCAGCTCTGTCTGCAATGAGGGGGAAATTATTTCCCAGGTTTATGAAGATATAATGTCAGGTTGGCTGTTGCAGCAGGACAGTGGGTCAAATATACTATAGAATGACTTCAAACTAAGAAAATCTGCCTTTTGGAGTGGTCCAATTAGAGCCCAGACCTTCATAGTCCAACAGCAGCTTTATTTTACATAGTATATTTCATACACAGAGGCAATTCAAAGTGCTTTACATAGCAAGAGAAAAACCTGAATAACATTTAAAAGAGTAAGCAATAAAAACATAAATATAATCAATTAGGACAAAAATAAACACAATACACTGTTAAAATTAATTAAAGTGCATACAATAAAAAATAAAAACAAATAATCAAGTAATTAAGGTGTTGGGCGGGTCTGATCCATGATGCTTGACGTTATTGCTGCCACAGGAGGCTGAACCAAATCCAAGAGCTTACTTACTTTTTCCACTAGCACTATGAATGTTTTATAGGTGTGTTCAATAAATACACAATAGATTATAACTGTTTGTGTTTTATTAGGGTCAGCATACTGTTTTTCTCTATTCTTGTAGCTCAGGTGAGATCAGGTCATGTTCTATGACCAGTTAATGTGTAAACCCAGGTCAGTCTAAAGAGTTCACACATATCTTGCTGCACTTTATTCAGTCAGTACTATGAAAAATTCAGGAACTTTAGAGGTATATCCATATTTCTGTCCTCCCCAGCTACATACATGAAAGGGTCAGAATATTAGGAACACCTCTGAATATAATGTAGTCCAGTACAACACCACCTTTAAGTGTGACCTCAATAATAAACCTATAATTGAATTTGTACATTTATGGCAATTCAACCTAAAACTGAACCATCCTGCGCTTCATAAACACAGGTGTTAAGGTGGAAGTGTTGCACTGAATTGTATGCAGTTGAACAGGTGACTTAATAAAGTGGCAGGTGAGTGTATATTATCATATAGTACATTTTCAAGCACCCTCACCACCAACACACACACAGGAAATTATTATTACCTTCAAAGGGCTAATACACCCAGAGATATTAAAGAGATAAATACAATGGCAAAATCTCTCAGAGCTTTTAGATTTTTGAGATCCTGTCTTTTAATTTAAGGCGCGTATGACTCACACATACGTACAGCAGTGGAATTTGCAGGGTGGGACTTTTTGCCCATGGCTATTAATGTCTTAGTCATCCAGCTCTGAGTGGCACTCCTTCCTCTCAGTGTCGGCCCTTTTCTATTCATCTTTAGCCCTGGAGGTACAGGGTCTGTGAACAAAGTGTTTGTTGAGAGGTTGCTATTTAAAGATAAGTCACAATGTCAAAAACAAGGACAAGAATGGTGGAAGTAACGAAATGCTTTTACCCTTCTTATTGTAAATGGGACTTACAATGGTTGTGTTATTTTGAGAATTTTATGATGAACAAGTAATTTCAGTTGACAATTAAACGTAGTGAACTAAAAAGTACAAATATATTCACTTTTAAAGGTTTTGGTAGTGAAAAATGTAAGTACTGAAATAAATTACAACTACAGTACTAAACTACAGTTTATATAATACTTGAATAAATGTATTTACTTATTTTCCAGCACTGTTGATTGGTGCTTTTGCATTTAATTTGCAGTTTTTTGTACACAAGTTGGTAATTTTCAACTACTGGTGACAGATTATAAGACAAATTCTAACAGTATATTCTGATAGCGACATTTAAATGGACTTTATTTTTTTATGATGAACGGACGTCCATCCATCATCTATGCTGCTTACCCTGTAGAGTCATGGGCAGGCTAGAGCCAGTCCCAGCTGTTACTGGGCAAGAGGCGGGGTACGCCCAGGGCCACCAGTCTATCACAGGGCTAACACATGATGAAAGACAATCAGTCACACCTACGTGCAATTTTGAGTCACAAGTCAACCTAAGCTGTTGGTCTTTGGACTGTGGGACAAAAATATAAAAAGTATAAAAAATATTTTGCTAATCAGTTTATCTTTTAGTAAAGTCCTCAAACATTTTCTAGCTCCAGCTTTTCAAATTAGCAGATTAACTCCTATCCTAAAGTAAATACAGAATATTATTAAGAAAATGACCAAACTGAAGACATCACCTTGGTGTTGTATCAGGGATTAACTGCTTTCTAACATTTTATGGAATAAATTATTCCTTCAGGAAATAAACTCCCCTCGCTGTGGGGGAGTAGCATGCACAGCAATCACTTGTGATGTATATCAGTTTAGGTAAAAGTACTATCCCGTAGGATGACAGACAACAGATATGTGACTGTGTATGTGTCAGAGACAAGGGGCAGTGGGGTGTGCCCTGCTGTGTGGAAATGAGAAATGAGAGGGAAAGCTAATATTCTCTGTCACGTAACCTCCCATACTTTCGCCACTGGGAAAAGGTATGGGAGGGCTTTAAAAGCTGCTGCCAGTGGTGCCTGTCGGCCTCATTATCCTTTTGCCCTGACTCGAGAGAATTATATCCACCTTTCAACACACAAACAAACTGTAGTCAGTGGAACTGAAGATTGTGCAAAATAGGGAACACTAGTTAGAAGGGAAATCTTTAGAGAAAACGATTAATACATCTAAGAGACTGGGCTGTGACCAATTTTTAGTAGACAACTTCTATTGTAAGATGCTTTTTTACTTATACATCCTGATGCTGCCCCTTATGCAGCCAGTTCTGTCAAGCCCAGTGCCACTCACCACACGCTCCAGAGGGTGTCCCGCCTGTAAAGGTAAGCTCTCACAGAGTCTGCAGTCTGTAGATTTAAATGCCACTACTCTGGCTGTTGGAGAACCATGTGGCGTCTACACTCCGAGCTGTGCCCACGGTCTACGTTGTGCGCCTCTCGAGGATGAGCCAAGGCCCCTCCGTGCTCTGCTGGAAGGCAGAGGAGTGTGCAGTAATGCCAGTGGTGCCGGTACGACTGACGGGAGTCTCACTGTAGGTAAGACTCACTCAACTTTGTGCTTGGAAGATAACGTGTGAATGAGTAAATGAAGCAGAATCATTCAGTATCTGAAGAGTCACGGCTAATTTTTAACACCACTTCTCTCTTTGCTTATTTATTTATATAATCAACACATGGGCATTTAATCCAGAGGTGGAAAATAACAAAGAACCTTTACTCAAGTACTGCACTTAAGCATCTGTACTTCAGTATTTTCATTTTCCGCTCCTTCATATTTTGAATTCACTACATTTTTGAGGAAAATATTATAGTTTTTACACACTACATTTATTTGATAACTTTAGTTGCTAGTTACATTTCAGACTGAGATTGATCTTTGACTTTATTCACAAGCTACCCAGCAGTATTTAAAGTACTTCAAAGTACATGTATAAACATATAACGTTAACATTAGCTCTACCTTTACCTGCTGTAACATTAAATGTGATGTACACAATACTTCATCAATAATTATAGTCCAGTAATATGATATACTTTAATGTGAATTGTGCCATTCTGCATAATGACTATGTTTACCTTTGGTACTTTAATTATATTTTATGTTAATGCTGTTGTACTTTTACTTACATAACAAATTGAATGCAGGACATTTACAACAAATTGAGTACTTCTTCCACCACAGATTAAATCAATATTCCTGTACCATGATTATGAGAAAATCTGCACAGAGAAACACGCAGATTTTCATACCCTGAGTTTCTATAGAAGCGGTTAAATTGAAACATCAGAATAAGGCGATGGTAAATGTCAGTGATTACAGCATAGGACCTGATTTTCTTCATTATGGGTTTTATAATGCTTGTGTTAGTGATTTTAGTAGGCTAATATTTATTCACGTAATTATAAGTGAAGTACAAACCTCTAAATAATTACAGTTTAAAAGGAGTTTTGGGGGAGTTATTAAAAAAGACTAACTGGAGCTAACCTCAGTAAAATGTTTGATTATTCAGCCTTTTACATAGTCATAAGTGATCAGTACTAAACACGTAATCATGTGCCTGTATCTGATTCTAGACCCAGCACCTACTGAGGGTCCAGATGAGGTAAAAATCCTCTCCATGTACCATTCTTCAGTGGAACTGTACATCACTACTCTGACATCAGACATGCACTTATATGTCTCTGTTTTTTTTTCCCCACAGCCTCCTTGTCGTAAATTGCTAACTCTACTCATCAAAGGCCTTGATGCCCATTTATTCAAATCAGATCATGATATCTACATGCCCAACTGTGACAAGCATGGATTCTTCAGAAAGAAGCAGGTGAGTTCGCAGTTCAGCTGAATTACAGGACATTCCTGAAACTACATTAACAAGAAGACATCATTCACTGTAGAGACCAGATTCCCACATCTATTTATTTGCTTTGTTTGTGCAGTGTTGGTCAGCTCGAGGTAAGCAGCGCGGCAAGTGTTGGTGTGTGGACGAGAACGGCATGCCACTGCCTGCAGAGGCCAAACAGAAAGGCGGCCTGCGTTGTTAACATGCAGGACACCTGGACTGATGCAGAGCAGGCTGAAGTTTTGTTAGCAATAAGAGCTAAAGATGAAGGAACACCACACAGAATGTAAAGGAACTGAAAACAGCGCCTCACAGTTTATTCCCCATCAGCCAGCCTTCCACCGAGGCAAAGAGTTAGGTGTTTTGAAATCAGACGTAACTTCTTTTGTCTCCTTGCTCCCTCTACTGAACATATTAAGACTGTATTGATCTGAAATCTTTTCATGTCTACTAATCTGTAAGGGTTGTGGTATTTTATACTATACTCATATGAACATGGGATATTATTCAGCCAATATGTGTCACATGTGAGTAGGACACTGTCTCTTCCCCAATACTTTAATTCTTAAAGAAAATGTACTTATATTTTTAAAGTTATTACTATATCTATGCCATATGGTGCAGGTGTAATTTCATCTTTCGCATGTCTCAGTATATCATATTTATATTTTATTGTTTTTTTTGCTGTAAGTGTACCACTGTAAGTGTATTACTGTAATGGTTGTACACAATCTGTTGTCCTATTTATGTTATTGTGAATATGACGTTTTATTTATGTAGTCATTCATTAGTGGTGGTAGCCCATAAAAGCAGACTCTCAGTAGGTATCTTTTTAAGACCCTGAAATCCTTACGCTTTTAAACACAAGGTGGCATTTTTAAGCAATTTCCCTTTTGGTCTTTGTATCATAAATTTTAAAACAGTTAAGACTGATGCTAATAGACAATATTACTAAAATATAAATAAATATTGCCAAATGTATTTTTCTTGAGTTTCTGATTTGTTATGTAAAACAGCAACCACACTGAATTATAGTTTTTGGGAAATAAAAAAATAAATTTCCTCAGGATGTAAATTCATCTGGTCCCTTTTTTGAAGAAAACAAAAACAAGAAAATCAGAAGAAGAAAATACAGAAGAACAGGTGTTTATTGTAGCTAGATGTAGGGTTGAAGATTGCATTTAACATGACTACAGAATTATCACTGACTCCAGAAAGTTAGCCAACCACACATAGAAACATGCATTTGCTTAGTTTAAGAGTCATGACTTCTTTTAACAGCATATAACAAAAAAGACTAAACGCATCTGGCAACAACAACAGGGGTTGCAAGATTAATGTAATGATGAGAAACAGAAATACATATAGACCTGCGGTTTCTATATTCTCTTATGACTTTCTCTTTAGCTTTTTTCATGTGAACAACTGAACATGTTCACCTTTTTAGGACTAAAAGATTCTTAAAACAGAGGCATAAAGGCTATATCCTGTGATGTAAGGGTAGACAAAACGGTTGGGAGATGCTGCCTTGAATATGATGTATATTTTAAAAAAAATTATATTTTTTGGAACCTTTTACCATTATGTAATTAATTAAATACACTGCTGCAGTATAAAGATTCAAATTCGGTATTTTGGTCAAACTTTTAAAATTGCAATTATAATTCTGAGAATACTGTTGTGGTGACACAACAATATTGGTAATTACTACAACTTATAATGGCAACTCAACTCCGATTTCTTTGTTCATTAGTAAGAAATGAAGTTCAAGCTGTGGTGAATTAATGAAATTTGTTTGATGACTTAATGTTTCTCAGTCTTTACATGATCCCAGTTAACATGCCTTAAAAATTAAACATGAACAGTGTACAGATTGATCATTTCATTTTGAAGAGCAGTCAAAGTTAGCTAAAGGAAGCACTAAGTGGTTCTCATAGTCACACAAAATAAACAATGTGATCCTTACAAGTGTATAGTTCATTATCTCATAGAACTAGGGGTTTAATTTATTTTTTTTACAAGTTTTTCAAATGTGCCACCCCTCTCTGTATGTGCCCCAGCCTCGCCAAATGTTCCAGATCCGCCCCTGAATAGGCCTAGTTATTATTATTCAAAAAGCGGTTGCATACTTTTTTTTTTTTTTTTTTAGCCAAAACAGTTTTGAGAGTTTAAACACAAAGTCACCACTACATTTTCACTCAGGTCAACATTTGTTACAAGACTATTATTAGCCTATTATTATAAATGTGTGGCAATTAGCAGATAACAGGCTAAATCATTCTGTCAACACAAGTTACGCACCACTCACACATCACAAGAATAAAAATTGCAAAGGTGACTTTGGCTGTATTTCACCATTTCACCATACTGACTGCACCTGTCAGACTGCTCGTTGTGGGACGGTCACTGGTCGCTTGTCCAAGAGCTGCTGGTTCAGCGCCAACAAGCTGCTGCTCCTGCTGTTGCAGAGAACCCACAGGGCGGACTTCAGCCTACTTTACATACACAGGACGCCAAAACACAACAAAAAAACCCCTGCTGACTGATACACGGACACCGGTGGAAGCGCGATGTCTTCCCCCAGTACCACCTCCAATTCTCTAAACACTCTGGCGCCCAAAAGGAAGACCAAGAAGAAGCACTTTGTGCAACAGAAAGTGGAAGTTTTCCGTGGCAGTGACCGGGTGCTGAGCGTGCTGATGTGGGGAGTCAATCATACGGTAGGGATGTGAGCTGCTTAAGGAGCCCGATATGTGCACGTGTTGATCAGGCTGTGAACATGTCCATTAAATATGTATAATTGATTATGCGCAGATCGGTGACCTGAGCCAGGTGCCTGTACCTGTCATGCTGCTTCCAGACGACTTCAAAGCCAGCACCAAGATCAAAGTCTGCAACCACCTCTTCCACAAGTACTGTGCCCCGCTCATCTCTGCCTGCACGATGTTGCAACATTCACCTTGCTTCCTGTCACTTGCACTGATTTTTGTGGCTCTTATCATTTTTATTTGCCCTCTCTGTGCTTATCAGAAATTTCAGACCCATTAGAGAACAACTATCTACACAACCTTTAAAATTACCAAAGCTACAAAGTGAAAATAACCTAGAAGATGAAAGAAATTAAAAACTGAGCTGGCATAACTGTCAAGGCTACTACATGTAAGAGAATTATATTGTATACAGAAGTGAGATTCTTCAGAGGTTGCGTAACACCAGAATATATACGGAGCAAAGACAAATAAGAAAGTAGCTAATTTCATAAACTTCATGGTCAAAGGTCACAGAGGTTGAGCATCAGTCAAAGTGTTTAACAGAGGCTGCTTCAAACTAAAGATGGTTTATGAAAGCTGAGCTATACGTTCTCTCTGCTGTGAGGTTCAGTTTCTATACAGACTGGTCTATAAAACTGAGTGGCTTTCAATAATCCTCTAATCCATTCAGGAATCCAGGTCGGGTAAAGACTTATAAACAGAGGTGGGAAGGACAATAAAATATGTTTTCTCAAGTTGAAGACCTGTTGCTTTGGTTACATTTTACTCAAGTGTTTTTTAAACATTACTTGATGTGGAAACTACTCAGATGAACATGCTAAGAAGAATTCATGAACAGTTTAAACATAACCAGTGGTGCAAAGGTCAATTAGGACGATTAAAAACTGAAGGATTATAGTAGTGGACCTTTTAAATATGATTTAAATCAGCATGGATAGTTCCTGTGTACGTCTGAAATTAGGGTAGATGCTGAACACGTGTAGACTGTGCACAGTAAATCAGACTGCACTTTTTATGTTATGTGTTCAAACCTTTCTGTTCCTTAGAGAAAATCTTCCTGGACAGTTCAAATTCAAAGAGTACTGTCCACAGGTGTTCAGAAACCTGCGAGAGTGCTTTGGCATGGAGGACCAAGATTACCAGGTAGGATTTGAAACATCACAAACACACAACATTGAGGGTTTTCAGTAGCTTATTGTCTTTTATATAACGAGCAGGCACTGTCTGGATCTACTCCTTTCTAAATTTGCATGTCTTTGTGTGATATTTGCATGTGCCAGGTGGTGCACAGAGTCATCAGCCACTCTGCTCAATGCACATTTGCCTAGACATGATTATGTGACACAAACTGGATGTGCAGTATAATAAAAGTCATACTGCAGACCTAGAATAGGAAACGTCTTAAAACACAGCACCTGCCAGTCCAAAATGCAGCCTTTTCTGTTCCAGCATGAGCATAACACAAACAAAAAGGCTGTGTTAGAGATTTGCATTATACATTGGTTAAGTGTTTGAGTAAAAACGATTTGTAAAAGATATGGTTTTAAAAGGGGTGTGCTCACGGTGTTGTCCTTTCTTTTACCAACAGGTGTCTCTGGCTCGCAGTCCTCCACTCAAAGACGAGGAGGGACAGCATGCTGGGCTGCTGCTGACATCGTATGATCGCACTCTGGTAGTAAAAGAAATCTCCAGTGAAAAGGTGGAGGAGATGCACAACATCCTCTCTGAGTATCACCAGGTGAGAGAGACACATGGTGGAAAAGCTACAGGACATTTCATGTAGTTTCAGTCAGTGAAATCTGAGGCTAGCCAACATATTTCTCAGGTATTTTGTCCTGTGTACTAGCAGACAGGTGCTTTCGTGTGATAACCCTGGTTGCCATGGCAAAGGTTTTACAACATCAAAGCTAAAACACAAGCATTTGAATTTCAAACAGAGGGACTGTTTCTTTTACTAGTAAAGACACATGTCCAGGGTTTTGTTTTACACCTAAATTTATAAAATACCTAATACCAAGCAAAGGCTCTTCTGTCAAAATAAAGACATACGGTAATTAGGGACCGATGTCTATATTCTGTGCTGTATTGTATTTGCTTTTGTTCTGTCCGGATGGGCTTTATCGCAGCAGATGTTTTAACTTGGCTCTGTAGGAAAATCACTTAGTTTTATTCATGTGTCCCAGTAAACCATGACAGCGTGACAGTGAGCCAACATGCACAATACCAGGACCCAGAAACCTGAACCAGTTCAATGGGCTTCAGCCATCATTCATTTTTACAGTTACACCTGTGACATATCAAAATACCCTTTGTGAAAAAGGCCATGTAAAGATATTTGAAGACAAACAGGATCTGATAAGAAAGAATAGAACGAATTTGACTAAAAAAGTCCATGGTCTTCATTAGCGGATGAAGCCGCTCATACTAAACTAGCTCCTTAAGCTTGTGAAGTCAGTGAAATGTGGACAACATATGTGGAAAATTTTAATAAATGGACCTTGGAGATATTCTGGGGAGATTTCTTGCAAACAAAGTTTCTGTTCATGCTCAGTGGGGGTTCACCGATGAAAATATTCCTCCATAGCATTACTACTGGTCAGAAAGTCAAGGGTTACAAGGACCTTTAAGTGTGATCTTTATTTTATTTATTTATGTATTTGTTTGTTAAAATATTATTTCCAAGCTTGAAAACTGTGTTTTTTTCCTACTTTAAACTAGAGCAAGTGATGTCTGGAACAATAACTTACTGAGACAGGAGGGATCTAGAGGCAGAGTTAAGCAGAGACAGCCTGTCCAGTGCTGCTCACAGGCCAGTGACAGGTCCTCAGGAGGAGTGTTTAACCAAAGTTACCTGCACTTCTACTAATGTTTCATGTTCTCTCCCAGCATGTTGTCACCTGTCATGGCAGCACGTTGCTCCCTCAGTTCTTGGCCATGTACAGAGTCACCGTGGAGAGCGAGAACACCTACCTGGTCGTTATGAGGAACATGTTCAGCCACAGACTGCATGTACACAGAAAATACGACCTCAAGGTAAAACCTGACTGTCGTCAGTGGAGGAGACTTACACAGTCTGATGGGTCATGGGTTTAAACATCCCCTTTTAGTTCAGTTAATCTTGCAGCCTACTTTCATGAATTTATTAGGGGTCATGGGAAGCATGAAAACCCAAGATAACACATCTCCACTCAGATGCTTTAATGCTCACATCTTTAAGTAGGGCCTACATCACCCATACCACTTCAGTAGTCAGCAGACTGTTGGGTTCATGACATCCATGTATCATGTTCCAGGGGCTTGTGACTGATTAAAAATAGTCTGGATGGCAGTTATCAGTGACTTTTCTTTCCTCAGGGGCCACTCGTGTCTCGTGAAGCAAGTTTTAAAAAGAAGGTGAGATCATGTTAAAAGCTAGAGCCTCAATTTAAGTTCTGCTTTCTGCTGTTTTATAAATGTATTGATTACTGGCAATCTACTGATGAAATGCAGGGAGGGAAAATGAATAAATCATTTACTGTTCATGTCGGCCTATTTTGTTTGATATAATTTGATTCAGACTCAATGGAGAGATGATGAATTAAATACTGCAAAGGCAGCTGAGTATCGTCTGAGCTACTCACTTTTAATTATATGGTGGTAGTTTATAAGTAAAGAACAAGTGTGACATAGTTACTGGTGACGGTCTGACTAGAAGACAAAAAATCCCCAAAAGTGTTTCTGTAACCTTAAATATAGGTTCACAGTTTTTATACCATTAAAATATCTTTCCAGTCTATACTTTTAAAAGGGGTACTCCAGTGATGTACTGCCCTCTCATATACATGCTGACTCCTACATTTTTTCATAATGTACAGTAGCTCCTTCTCACAAATTTCACAGCCACATAACAATTCATCCACAGGCTGTCTGGTGTTTCTCCTGTAAAGTAAACTGATGCTCACTTGTAAAATTTGGCTCATGAGCCAGGTGAATGTTTTTGATTCATTTTTATCATTTATATTTATTCTAATCATAATATTTAATATAATAATGTCTATATTTATTTAAAAAAAGAAACTTCACCCTGTAAATTGAGAAAATTTAAACCGTATTGTATGTTTAACGAGGACACCTGACTGAACTTGAATTGCCTGCATTGTGCATCTACAGCCTGTCTGAAGGTGTGGACATATATTCATGTTTTCCCCAGTTTGGGTTGTATCTTTGTTATTATTTGTGCATTATGACAAATGTGATTTTAAGATCAGACTTTCATAAGAGTTTTTACCAAAAACGGTTAAAATAACATCAGAACTTTTGCCCTGGAGACTCTGACCTATAGATGAAATGCTAAAAAAACTAGTTGAATATACTGAGCTGCACAGCTGTGTGTGGTAATTTGAAAAACAAAGTTTGGGATTAAGTGCTGTCGCCTCACAGCAAGAAGGTTTTGGGTTTGAGCCCCGACCGACCCGAGTCCTCTCTGTGTGGCGGTTGCTGTTCTCCCTGTGCCTGTGTGGGTTCTCTCTGGGTACTCTGGCTTCTTTCCACAGTCCAAAGACATGCAGCTTAGGTTGACTGGTGACTCTAAATTGCCCGTAAGAGTGTATGAGTGTTGGTGGTTGTTTGTCCCTGAGTGTCAGCCCTGTGACAGATTGGCGACCTGTCCAGGGTGTACCCTGCCCCTCGCCCAATGTCAGCTGGGATTGGATCCAGCCCCCCTGTGAGTCTCTTGAGGATAAGCGGTATAGATAATGCATGGATGGATGGAGTTTAGGATTATATTATTTGGTTTTAATGTCAATAGAAGTATGAAGGTTGATAATGTTTATAATGAGACAATGAAGTGTGTGTTACTGTGGTTTTTGTACTAAATGTAATTTAGTTAACTTTCACTCTGTTTCCAGGGGAAAGAGCTGCCTACTCATAAGGACGTAGACTTCAGGAATAACATGCAAAAAGTTTATGTGAATGACCAGGACAAGATGAAGATCATGGGGAAGCTGAACAGAGATATTGGGGTAAGAAAGGAGAGTTTAAGGAATGAATTCCCTGACGACTGATATGATTCATGTGTGTGCCCTCTCTCTGCAGTTTCTGGTGCATATGAGGATCATGGACTACAGCCTGCTGCTGGGCATCCATGATGTTGAGCGGGCTGAGCGGGAGAAGGAGGAGGAGATGGTGTTGTCCCATGAAGAGGAAGAGGAGGATGACAACGGCCTGGCTGCTGCCCCAGGCACCACCTCACCTGAGGGTATTGCTGCTTATATGAGCTCCTTCAAATCCATGGGTCCTGGGGAGTTTGACCCTTATGTGGATGTGTACGCCATTCAGAGCGCTGCAGGTGAGTCCTGACAGCTGAGCTGTCTCTACTGACCTTAAGTTGGCTATAGGAGCTCTGTGCTGTAATATGCATAAACCTTATGTCACACTGGTCTGCAGATGATCATACTTGCAGACTAATTTCACTCATCAAATTCTGCGAATCCCTCCCATGTAGGTGCCCCCCAGAGGGAGGTGTACTTCATCGGTCTGATTGATGTGCTGACACAGTACGACACCAAGAAGAAAGCTGCTCATGCTGCCAAGGCTGTCAAATATGGGGTGAGAGATGCTCTATATTGTTTCTATTGTTTAGCATTCACTAGGCACAATTTACATCTCTGTCCTGCAAAGTGTAAAAGGTTGCTCTCATTTCACATCTTGTTACAGTATTTCTAGACTGTGTGTGTGTGTGTGTGTGTGTGTGTGTGTGTGTACAGGCAGGAGCAGAAATCTCAACAGTTCATCCAGAGCAGTACGCTAAACGTTTCGGAGAGTTCATCAATAAGATCTTTGCCTAGCTCCAAGACTCAGCTCAGGCCATGTCTATATCATGTCAGATCAACATCAAGAAGCACTGGAAATTTATTTACTATCCATTTTGAAATGATGTATATGCTCCATATTATTCTACTGTATACTGCAAGATGGACTGTGCTTTAATTTTGAGTGAAGAACTGGAAAAGAGGAATAGTCTGCTTTAAGTGACAGCCTGAAAGACAGGTTTGCTGAGAGCAGCCATGTGAAGTGAATTTAGTACCTCTGACATAAATGTATTCTTCTTAAGGTCCATTGTAGAGGTGGAAATGGTGAGAAAAACATGTTTTCTTTGTGCATCTGTCTTCTCTTTGAGAAAGATGTACTTTTAAAGGTTGATTTGTGATTTCCTCTTTGCACATTTCCCATCAATAATTCAGACCAACAACAACTCTGCAGGGTCTCAGTCAGGAATAAAACAATGTTCCCTTTCTGTAGTTCTACATTAAAATGGTTCCAAGTGCATATTTAAGATAAATAGCACCAACATAAAGGTGTAAAGGAGGCACAAAATACAGCTTAAGTACTGTTAGCCTCCATCTTTGGACATACAGTATATATTAAAAATAAGACTGAATGATATTTAAAAATCTACTATGCAGTTATTACATACAGTAAATACGGTAAGTGTTGTCACTGGAAATGTTTATTAATGAATGTTTTATCAATAATTATGTGCTATTAAAACCTATTTTCATAAAATGTAATCATGTGGCATGTGCCACAGCACACTGATCACAGAGAGCTTTTATATCAAAATGTTGTAACACACTGTAGATCCTGCGCCATACTGTATAATTTATTTTACCTTTGAGTGAAAGCCAAGTATCAAAGAAATTACAGTGCTCATATGGTTGTAAGTTCAGGCAAAATATGATTCATGGCATCTAAGATCTGACAGTACATGTGCTCCACTGTATTCCTAGTGGATTCTATAAAATTGTGTCCTTATTTAGACCTCTCCCATGTCCCAGTCCTCCTGGCACACATTTCTGAATCCCCTTTTTAGATTGTTATAAGGCTTTCACTTTGGGCTAAAAGCTGAGTGGACAAATGGGGGGACCGTAAGTTCAGGAAAATAAGCTTGTAAGAATAAATCCAAGATTATTTGAACTCTTCTATAAGAAACCAGACAGAGCAGTCAAACCTGACACAATCACAGCAGTCTCAGGCCGAGGGAAAATTTTGTTTTGATGTAAAATTCATCTCTGCAAATTATTGTATGTTTGCTTCTTTATACTGCTTATGTGATTTTTCTGCTAGCATGCTCAAGATAAACTGAGAGTTTAATACACTGTTGAGTCTGCTGCCTGAAGGTGTTGTTCTAAGTTTCAGTCTCAGTTTTCCTGTACAGTTTATTGTACGCCAAACTTAGTGCAGAGAAATGGTCCAAAATGGGCAGGAGGGTGGAAACTGGGACATACAGTATGTCAAGGAATTTTAAAAAACCCATCACAAATGTGTCATTTATACTAATGTTTTTGTCCAATTAATGAATTATTGATTATATGTGCATAACTTTTTTAGAAGAGGCCAACAATCAGTTACTGTACAAATGTTTGCTAGAGGGTTGTGTCCACGTAGGAGGACACCAAAGGTTTCACAGCAATGCTGACACAAATGTGCCAGAAGTGGATTTAATCAATGTTCGTAAAGGGAAAACACAAAACTTCATGCATCTATAACAAGCACATAGCACATACTATTCATAGAGGTTTGGGGCAAGCACCCGACTGCAGCTCAGCTTAAAGCTGTGCAGTTTATCGGCAGTGTTGTTTATGACGTGTTTTTCCTCTTTTTGTGTATTTTTCCACTTTTTGATGCATTTATAGGTTTGTATAAGCACATTTCACTTATAAGATGCTACTGGGCGGGAGGCCATTCTAACAGAGAAGAAACAGAAGCTCAGTTGTTTTTTGGTGAGCTGTCAGTGAACACATTGTACATGGCAATCTCTAGCATCCCCAAAGCAGCAGCAGTTCTTAAGTGTCCTTACACTTATAGTTTTTGTTACGTCCTTCACACACACGCACAGTCATGTCTTACTATATTTATCAGGCCATTCATTGACATAATGCATTCAAAAGCCCCTTAACCTGACACTTAACCATCACACTTAAATACTTTGCCCCAACCCTGACCTAAACCTAATTCTAACTTAAACCCTAAAACAAAGTCTTAGCCTTCATAAAGCTCTTTAAAGTTGTGAGGACCAGCTAAGAAGTCCTAACACCAAAATGTCCTCACAATGTCACCAAAAAAAAAAAAAAAAAAAAAAATTGGTCCATGCAATAAAGACACATGCACACACACTTACATTTCCATTATTTCAGGGGACAAAACATTGACTAACATTAATTTCTTGGAGACGGATCCTGACCTTAACTATAGCTACTACTTGCCTAACCCTAACTTTAAACCAAGTCATCGCTCTAAAACATAACACTTTACGTTTTGGGTACTTGCTTTTTGTGTCCATAGAGACATCGAGTCACCACAGTGTGACAGATTTACATCCCCACAACATGAGTAATGCCAGGTCACACGTACACACACCAACAGCTCTGAAGAAAACAGCACAGCCTGGGCAGTAGCCTTAGTGTATTGATAATGAATGCTCTATGAATCAGTGCATGGGTAAAAAAAACAAAACAAAAAAAAAACAAATGGAGAGAGATGCTTACATCACAGACATATACACTCAGTGGAGTTTTCAGATCAACACAAAAATACATAGAATACTGCAGGAGGGTTGTTCTTATGCTTATTTAAAAATATTGATTTAGACAACATTCCTCTATTTCCATCCATCCATCCATTATCTATACCACTTATCCCAAAGAGGGTCGCAACATTGGGCGAGAGGTGGGGGTACACCCTGGACAGGCCGCCAGTCTATCACAGGGCTGACACTCCTCTATTTCATGTTGCAAAATATAGTCACAGTCACTCAAGGGCCCAGTTGTCAAGTTTTAAACTATTAAACAATACTTTCAAGTTCTATTATTCACAGCCAGAATAATAGCAGTTAATGAAAAAAATAAAAATACCCTGACAGTCTACAAAACCCCTGTCATCTGGAAAACACGTTAGTGACTGAAATAATTAACTCAAATCATCAGGTTTTTTTTATACATTCAATAATAATCAAGGTATTTAATTGTTCACTTACACAACTGGTTTTACACTGGCCTTGATAAGGACCTGCTGCTGCAGTCATAATACACACATCATGTACAGTGTTCGTGGCACACACAGTGATGCAAACATAAGATACAAATCTCAGTCTTGGATGTCAAATACTTAATCAGGAGGTTATCAAAGGAAATCAAGATGCTGTATATGTAGTAAATCTCTGAACAGCTATTAGTAACCCTTTGAGTTTATACATAGAATTAACTGTACAAATCATACAATCTGGAAACTGAAGCACGTTTTATAACATTATAGTATTTTATCAGTGCATCTCTATACAGTTATTATGACTATGTTTAAAACAGCCTCTCTTTTCAACAACTCTAAAGTCTTCTTAAACAAAACCATATTTTTTATGCATTGAACTGTGTTGAACTTAACACAGTATATACACTCTGAATTTAGGAAGTATAGATGTGTTTAACGTTGGGATTACAAGCAAGAAAATAGAGACGTCCTTCTATCAAATAGTGAACTTATTGCAGTTCTTTACTTCTGGGCTCAAAATGATCAGCTAAGTGGTTTGAGGCAGATTTCCATTTATAACAGAGTGGAGAATAAAGTTCAGTACTGACTGCATGATTAAATATGAATCACACCAGCTGGTATTCAGTGCAATACATTCCTATTAAATCTGAATGTAGTGGCATCTGGTTCTCATGTCTTGTGTTGTCAGAAAAAACTCTCTCTCTCACTTTTTTTTGGTTAAATCATTCTAGCAGATTGTGATACCAGTGAGTGTTTTCAGCCCTGACAAACACACACCCCCTTTAAAACCTCATCTGGCTTCAGGAGTGCAACATCTGGCTGCATGTTTATCAGTCCTGCAGGCCCGTGTGAATGTACAGGACACTATGAGGGCAAAGCGACAAGCTCTCTCTCTCACACACACACACTGGTGCCGCCGCTCTTGTGTGAGATCTTGAGTGTTGTGGCAACTGTCTGACTGGGCGCCATGGCAACAGGGAAGCTGGTTGTTGCAGCTGCTGCGAAACCAACTGTTGTGGCGACAGAGGGGGGCGCTTCACTCGGGCATCCGTACTGGAGCAAGATGTCAACACACTCCTGGCTGCCAGCGCTGTGAGCCAGAGCCAGCGCCGTGTGCCCCTGAGCGTCCCGATGCCGAACGTCACAGCCATACTGAAGTGAATTAAAAAGAGATCAAAAACTGGATTAAAATATGTAACTACCCCATATTCTATACATTTTTTTAATCATATGTGGAATAAGTATCCTGTGGTGTTCTGGGCCTAAACCTAACAATATTGTCGTAAATTATCCCAACGAGGTGTGAATCAGTGTGTGTTAGTTCCTTTCACACATGGATCACCTTGAGTGCTCTGCTGAATCATCTGTTTCAGCACTTTTTGTTTCATGCAGAGGGTATTACTTAGAGGTTGTTGAAAGGTAACATCATTATTTTTTTTTTACCTTACATAAGTCAATGTCATAGTTTTCTGTGGATAAAGAAATTTTAAATAATTTCCCACCTTGTTGACTCTACCTGTACCCTAACATTATCTGTATGCATTGGAAATCTTTGCTGATATGACCGTCTGGGGGAAGGTGTTATGGATTCCTAAAGCAGCAAAACAATAGCAATATAACCAGAGAAGGAAGGAAACACACCCAAATAAGAAGCTGGGTCATCACCACATCAGCCTGCTGACAGGCAGCATGCAGGGCTGAGCCAGGCAGCCGCAGTGCTAAGAGTGACCTGGAGGAGAGCGCCAGGCTGACAGGGGCATTAATGTCCTCTTTAGTGCAGTGGGCCAAAAGGAGCAGAAGCTTGGGGAGGTTGTGCTCCATCACTGCCAACAGAAGGCGGCCAGACAGAGTGAGATCTGGGCCCTCGCTGGAAGTGGGAGGAGGCAACGGTGCCACAAACAGTTTCTGCTCATATTTGGCTCTGATCCACGACTCCCGCTCTTCTCTACCAACCAGGGAAAACAAAGAGAAACAGAAAGAGGTAAATGATCAGTGAAACACACTTAATGTACAGACTTTCTACCATTTAAAAATAACAACTCTTTCTTTCTAATGGAACTTGTTAACTCAGACACATAATGTCTAGGTATGCAGCTCATACCTACATGCTGTAAAACACTTAACTAAAGCAGTGTTGCCCTATGTCACATCTCACATCTTTACCGTGATGCGTCAGGTGCAGGTTTGCGGTGGCCCAGCGTGCATGCCTCCCATATACTGTTGACCATGTGGTTGCCAATGGCACTGAGAACGAGCGTGAGCTCACATGGCAAATCATCAAGGTCCAGCGAGCGAACACGTGACAGGTGGGTGCCTAAGTTTCTGTGGATCCCAGAGCATTCGATGCATATGAGAGCACCGAGATTCAGACTGGCCCAGGTCGGATCTTGGGAAAGGGAAGGTGCACACAAAAAATTAGGTGGCCACTTCATCTGAACCTAAAATGTATATATGGTTGACAGATTTCCACCATTTGAATTTTGTTGTGTGCTAGCTTGGCTATACCATGCCACCAAAATGCCTGAAGTTGTGTGAAACCTTGTTTGGACAAGTTTTGAGGCAGAGGTGTTTAATCTGTGGCCGGTGTCTCATTCAAAGTGTTCAAACATCATAAGGAGATACAGCATTTAATCTGTTTCTGTTTGGTTTAGTGATACAGTATCAGTAAGACACTGATTTTAATTATAGGGCATAGTAATGAAACTTTGAAGACTACATTTTCTAAAAACAAAGGCTTTACAGGTTGCTGCTCCTGTGTTGGAATAAAATCAAACATGACAAAATATTTTCATGCCATTTTGGCAGATATTTTTCCTTATGAAAGTGGAAATGTTTTTCAAGCCCTGGAGGACAACTCAGATTCAGTAAAGCATTTAAGTTCTAGGTTTGATCTAAACGAGTCAGGAAGTTTTTCAACGTGCCTTCAAAAATTCTACAGCTATACATATGAGGCCAATAACACTGAAAGATAAGAGCAATTGTTCCTGTGCATATAAGAAATGTGATCAAAAAGGAGGACGGTCTAAATCCTGCTTGTTGTAGCTTTCCAAAACACACACTTCAGTGGTAGCACCCATCTTTCACAGTGATTGACCAGGTTTTCTCTAGTGTAAGAATGCACCAAGTACTCCACTAATTTTCCACATTCATCTCAGCTGTGGTCTCAAAGCTGGCTCACTCTTATTTGAGCCACTTTGAAATTGAAAAAAAAAGACTACACGGCATTTAACAAGGGTAGTTTGGAATGATGATCCAAATACATTCAAGGTGGATTATGTGCCAAAACCTGATATGTGTAGACAGAGGAGAAAATTGTTGGAGGGTGTCACTAACTTGGAGCATCGCAGTCAACACAGAAGTTGTTGCCCTTTGCATTGCGGATCGCCCGTAGTGCCACTGCTTCACTCTGGCTGTTCCTCCGAGCCTGTTAAAAGCAATACACATTATACAGTTCAAATGAAAGAAACACTGGCAAACTCCTGTCTCTGATATCAGCTCTGTATGTCTAACTGCATAGACAAGCTAACAGTGGTTTTCATTTTAAGATCTCCCAGTGAAACTAGAATTACTGTGTTGCTTCTACCAACCAGTCAAGTTCATGGGAATGGACAGACGTGAGGTCACACTGACCTTGACCTTTGACCACCAAAATTTAATAAGTTCATCTTTGAGTCCAGGTGGATATTTGTACCAAATCTGAAGAAATTCCCTCAAGGTGTTCCTGAGATATCACGAGAATGGGATGGACAGAGAACCCGAAAACATATTGCCTCTGGCCGTGGTTATCTCCTTGCAATAACAAGCGGAGGGAGATGGCTATAATCACTATAATGACCATTTAAAGCTGTAAAATTAAGAGCTTGAGCCTCATAGGTCATACTATTCTCATAACACTAATAAAGAAATGCATTATAGGGTTTAGGAAGTCATTCACAACCATTATATCAGCGGCAATGATCATTTTTAGATTTAATTGCACACCAGGACATACTCAGCGCATCCCATTACTGGGCAGGCCTGTTAGCTCGCCCCATAGTTGAGTGGGGTGAGTTTTGGTAATGGCCAATCAAATTAACAGCCCTCATCATTTTTAAAAGTAGCAGCAGTAAGAGTTTCCTAATGGGCTGAGGAGAAAGTCCAGGACAGCTTCTCCTGAGGGAAAACTGTTTTTATACAGAAGCTCCAGGGTGCAAATATACAGCACACATTATGATTACACAACGCTCCAAATGTACTTCCACTGACAGATTACACTCTGCCTCACTCTGGCATTTATATTCAGATTTCATGGGATAATGAGATCACTTTGCTTTTCCTGCATAACGTTGCTCCCAAGTTATTAAGAAAAAAATGACACCATGCACTTTGTGTACAACAGCGACAACCTGTCGAACAATGAACATGTTTTGATCATTATTATCTTCTGCTTATTTGTTGCTGACTAAAATGGGTAATCCCTTAGTCATATGTGGATGCATTTAGTGAGTGTTTGCTCAGTGATGCCACTGATATAATACTTAATGTAATTCAGTGGTTACGTTAAGTCATTGTTGTAGTACCCGAGTCCTGGACTTGGAGTCCTGATTTTCACGACTTGCGGCTTGATTTGAAGTTGAGCACTGATGACTTGGACTCACACTGAGTATTGACTGCATTCGGACTCAGAAGTTAAAGATGAGGACTCTGACTATTTTTTTTTTAAATACGCCATAATTATCTGGCATAAGATATTGATGTTAAAACCTTTTTGCTTGCACCATGGTGTAAAAAAAATTTGCCCCTCCCCGCGACCCCGTTTGGGACTGAGCGGTATAGAAGATGAATGAATGAATGGAAATCACACTGTTCACTTTTGGGTAGTGTGTGTGTGTGTGTGTGTGTGTGTGTGCTTATGAGTGTATTTGTTTGGCTACTGTGTCACACACAGTAAGTAAACTCCTTTCAGAATGGTAAGAGCTGTGTCATTGGTGTTTAATCCAGACAGAAACTCAACTCAGACTCAACATAGACTATTTGGTGACTCGGACTTGACTTGGACTTGAACACTCATGACTCAGCTGCAACACTGCTTTAAGCAGTTTACAAGTTTAAAAGACTGATTTTGATTGTCTAAATAAAACGGTGTTGGAATTCTGTTTATATATTTGATGGAGTTCAGGTCTTGGAGACACATCCTGTCCTCTAAATGATTTTACTGTATAAAACCTTTTGTCCTTAAGGAACAGCTGATGTGTGACTCTGGCAACTAAAACCTTCAGAATCATACTGCTGACTTGCAAAAGGAGGTGGTCTGAGCAGATGGAAACACAGGCACAATTTCATGCCAGTGTGGGTACCAATATTGCGCTACACCACCTGATCTTTATAAACACACCCTCAGATGTATAACTCTGCACTCATCCGTGCAAGCAGGAACATTTGGGGCCACTTAACACCAACAAGGGCACATCTTGAGTCATAATATTCAAAATACTTTGTCATTTGTCAATTTAATGATCACTTTATTGAGCACACAGCTGTTTCACACATGTGGAGAATGGACTTGGAAGACACCGATGCAATATTTTACTATCCCAATTTAGAGTTCACATTATTACAACTACACCAGTTAAAACACGATGAATTAGGGGTTACAAATCCAGCAAGGACATCGTTAAAATAACATTCATGTATCGTCTACAGTGTGCAAACTGCACGCCTTGCTCTTTCTGACCTTGTTTTTGCTGCTCTCACACAGCTGCAGGCTGGCTAGGATCTGGCTCTCGATTGCTTGGACCCAGGAGTCCCTCTCCTCCACATTCTGGGCTTCAAAGTGCCACATCTGGCCAGTGCTTGACACAATGAGGAAGTCAAAGTTATCCTCATCTGACACAGAAAAACATGAGCATATAACAAGAGATTTTTCATTAGATGTTATTGTGAAAGTAGAAAGTTAAGGCAAATGAAAAAAGTTAGCAACATAAAATGACAGCTTTAGTTTGCATGCATCAGTACAGTTACAGTAAGCAGCTGGATCACAATTAGAAACAATCAAGAATATCTTTATGTTACTGAACTGTTCAATTTCTACCAAAACCCTGACCTAATATAAAATGTAAATGTAGAGGAAGAACAGCAGTAAACATTTTAAATTAGCCGCAATACAACAAAAGTTTCATACAATGTAATGTCATTTTCATGATGTGGCAGGAATACAGGCAGAGGGTAAGTCAGAGTCTGAAAGATGCAGTATGACAGATCAACTTTACCTGTTTTGCTTACGTTTCTTAAGCTACCAAAGCTCTTAAGTTTCCACATTTTCCGCTTGGCTGCAGATTGAAGATGTCAGAGAAAAGAGAGACAGAGGAAATAATAAATAAAACTATATATTAATTATAATATAAAATTATCAATTAAACTAATTACTGACATATAAGAATACCAGAATATGACTATTGCCTTTATTATTAGAAATTGGTCAATATAAAAACACATTTGGTGTTGTTAGTGTTTACCATCTGCTTGGCCTATGGTTGCATCTCCTTTCTGGTTCATGCTCTTCTTCCTGCGATGCTTCTTCCTGTCGGTCAGAGGGGAGGCGGAGCCTACATCTTTGGTGGAGGACGAACTAGAAACTCCCTCAACTGCAGAGTCTAGCAACAAGATCACAGCAACATGAAGCAAATTATATGAATCTGGTACAAAGACATTTTACTGTAAAGCTAAAAAACTGCACCTGAGTCCTGTACTTACCAATACTTTGAGCATGGTTAGTTGCTATGGAAGGACATAGCTGCGCCCCTCTGTTGCTCCTCAGGAATAGTGGCCCGCCCAGCCCTTCCATTTCTTCCACTTGCAGGAGGCTACTGGCACTTACAGGGACTAAAGAGGTGATAGCAAGCAAGTAATTAATAACAGAGAAATGTAGGCATGCATTAAATGTACTGTGTTCCTGAGATTAAAAATGCATTACTGACTCTATTTGAACATTAGAGAAAATAAAGTGTTTCACAAACTCTTGGAAAACTTGCAAAATCCATTATGAAGCAGTTACTGTAGTTCTGAGTGCTGCTTTCCCCAACTCCATCTTTATTTATTGTTTTTCTTTTGACCATACCTGCTTATTCCTAGTCAAGGTCATGATGGTCTATAGTATATTTCACATGCTCTCCAGCTCCACAAGGCAATTTCAAAGCAGGACTTTCTTAATGTGAGAAAACTGAGCTACCACTGCACAAAATGCGGTACCTCTTCACAATAACATCACTGGTCTACTGCTTTAATTCCTCTGATAGTTAGAAAATGGTAGCTCAATGGTGGTTAGCTCTGTGTTCTTATGTATGCGAAGGAAAAGTTTAAAAATTCCCCACATCCTCCCACAGTGTACAGAAAGACTGTTTATTCTTTGACCTGGGCCGACACCCTCAGGTCCCAGCACATCTTTGACCCGCCCGTTGAGTCCAGCTGGGGGGCCACAGGCAGGTACAGCGCGAGGTGGCCGCTTTCCTGGCACCTTTACCGTTACTCTCAGCAGGTCCATCTCTTTCCCCGGGGTATTCAGCATGTAGTCCTGCCAAGCCAAATATCAGCCAATACCCATCAACCACCAGCCATCAGTGGTGCTTTGAGCAGCTTAATGTTTTAGATCACTTTGTCAACACACTGACTCACATTGACACTGGAGTGATAGGACAGGATGCCGTCGTTGGACAGTGTGACATACTTCTTCTTCCACTCCTTGTTGAGTGAGTTCCCACTGCGCTTCAGCAAGATGCCCTAACAGAAGTGACAAAACTGAAGTGAGAATTTATTGCTAATGTCTCATGTGTTCATCTCACACATTTTGACAACATGATGAGTACTGGCTGCCAAAAACTCCCACCATCTATCCATCAGGCCAGTATGGGAGATCACAGCACTTCATCAGTCCACATAATAAACCTGCCTTCACACATTTGATTTCAAGAAATTGAAGGTGTGATGCCTTCTACAGAAGGCTGTTGGATACATTATATTTGTTTCTGCATCAAGTGCAAATCTGTGTCCTACCTGTTTGATGGGAATGGAGCGTCCGCTGCCCAGATCTCCTTTATAGTCCGCACTCCTTCTGTTTGAGTCGCTGCCTCTCCGACCCTGGATGAAAAAGCAGTAAAAACATCAGGTGCAAGAATAGATCGATTACTTAAAAATATTATTTTTAACTCACAAAGCATGGAGGCTTTCCTTATTAATAACTGTGCATTTCAAAAGAGCCATGAAAGGTATGGTGACTGTAAAAGCTGGCTTATAAGTGAAAAAGGAGTTTAGAGAAATAAATTTAATATTGTGGTTGTTGTAACACAGTGTGGCCTAGATAAATTAAGTGCCTATCAGCATTACAAAAAAGGTGCATTTTTACATGCACAGTGGGTCAAATCATTACATGCACCGTGAAGGGGGTCACTCACAGTGATGAACCCACAGATAATTATCACCTGACACAGCAGCTGCTCCATGTCCACTGGATGTGTTAACAGGTAACTGTTAGCTAACATACAGTATTTTCCATGTTAATCTTAAAAGGAATATGAAAATCAATTAATGAAGGTTCAGTGTTTAGTTACATAATCTGGTATTCACCTTCCAGCCTAATGCCAGATTATCCCACCAGGTTTTAACTGTTCAGCCTCAGATTAGAAAACAAACAAGCAAAAATGCAGTATGGATGTTTTAAATAAAGCTTCTAGTGACCTCAACAAGTTATTGTCAAACCAAATAATGGCTAATACGAATTCCTTTTCAATATATGTCTGATGAATTAGTTTGGAAAAAGACAGTTTCATCCCCGGTTTGATTTTCAAGAATCACAAGTGGATTAGAATCCAATTATCTACAGAACATGGGAGACAAGAAACTGATTTTATGATCTCAAAACAAAACATGAGAAACCTTTGAGAAGACAGTTTGTGTCAGATGTGTTCTTTTGTTTTCTTTACCCACAATTGTAAAGATATATTAATTTCTATATCATGGTATCGCTATACCCTTTTACTGTTTACACCGGTTATACTGTACCTCCCAGTTCTACTCTATGGGCCCCATGAACAGTCTATTCACAGTGAAAGTTGTGTATTTTGGGCAATGTCATGACCAAAAAATGATATGAAAGAGTAAAATTTGTGCTCACAATTTCAGGAGTTTTTAAACACGGAAAGCTGGTGAAATGTGAGGTCAAAGTAAAAGAAAGACAAATTAGAAAAGTCAAAGAGTCTAAAAGTAAAATGATGCCAAAGCAAGCCTTGAGCTCGGCGCCCAAAGAAACAATCACTTGAATAGTATGTACCACAAATCGAGGGGTGCGTCTTCGGGTGGCACTGCGAACTGACCCAGGTATGGCACTGTCCTGTTTTTCCCCTCTCGCTGTCCTGCTAACCTCTTTATGGCTAATTACAGGAGTGGAAGGAAGTGATGAGGAGTAATCACTGCTCTGACCACCATTACTGGCCTAAAGAGGGAAAG